ACAACCAATCTCTCACCAAGCTCTCTGTGAGGACCAGCTGTGTGTTAGGCACTGGGGTGGGCTGGGGACAAGTACAAGAGGAAACAGACACGTGCCTGCCTTGATAAGAGATCCTGGATGGTGAAGACAGCAGCAGTGAGAGATTTTAATCATTTCTAGCAGGGGTCGTTGATTGGCGCTAAGGTTCTGCAGGTGAACGCTGACAGCGTGTGAGACTTGGTGCCCTCTTGTCTTAGAGGACAGAGGCAAATTTGGGGAGGCAGGGGCAGCTGAAATCAACCTCAAGAACTGCCTGGCTGGTGCATGGATGTCTGAAGGCCAGAGAGGCTACACAGACCCTGGGAGGAAGGCAGGCAGGAGCCATGTCTCTGGGTGTCCAGTCTGTGGGCTCTGTGCTAGGCAGGCTACTTCTGTGACCCAGCACCCCATCTATGCACAGTAGATCTTCTCTGCTTGTACCCCTGCTTCTGTTGTGTGGGAACATGTTAAGTCTCTGTGGGCTGTGGAGCCGCTCAGTGGTAGAGCATTTGTGTGACGTGTGCGAGGCCTTGGGTTCAGACCCCAGAATTACGTTAGCCTTGTGTGATGATGCCGATCTGTAATTCCAGCACTTCGGAGGGGAAGGTAGAGGCAGGAGGATCAGAAGTTCAAGGTCATCCCTCCTATTTGTGAGTTCAAGGCCAGCCTGGGATATATGAGGCACTGTCTTCCCTCTTGTGCACCTCCCTTCCTGACCTCCCCACCCCACCCCACCCCACCCCCTACCCCAAAGAATGACAGAACAGGAAACTGTTCTGAAATAGTTTAGCCTAGGTACTAAAAAAATCTGATGTTTTAAAACTGGCCAGAGGGTACAAAAGTATATCTTGTAAACCCACAATGTCACTGGCACCAGGGTCAACCGGGTTGTGTAGGTGGCAAAACTTGCCTGGTGATCGTCAAGCAAGCTAGCATTTAAGCACAGCTGGATCTGGATCTGGCTGCTGCCCCTGGAAAAGGGACAGTGATTTCAGCTGTATGGGGAGGAATGTTTCAGCCTGGAACCTGTAACTCCAGGCATTGTAATCACCTGTAGCTGTGGTAACCGCGAGAAAGCTCCCAGAATGAGAAATAAGCATCTTCTCCACTGTAGAACAACCCTGGGCCCTGAGCCAAGAGAAACAGCTCCTGCCTTTGAGAGAAGCAGGCTGCTGGCAGGTGATGTGAAGGGACCCACTGTGCTATCCTGTGGCCACTTGGTCACCATGGGGGTAGACTGGACTAACTGGGAGTCTGTAGAGGTGGACCCTCGGGAGGGTGTCACAAGAAGTCAGGCTGGGCCAGCAGAGGCCTGGCAGAGGCAGAGAAGCCAAGTGCTGAGGCAAAGGCCTCCGGGTCTCTGTGATTACTGGCTCATTCCAGTGACCTCAGAGTTGGCTGGGCCTTGTTCATCTCTCGCTGAGTGGGATAAAGGCCTTGCCCACCCTGGGGTTGGTAATAATGACCCCAACTGTTATTAGGGAGTGCTTGCTATGTGCTTCATGCTATTCTGTGCACCCCCCCATTTCTCTGCAACCCATGACAGGCACTGCCGCTCTACAGATGAGACTATTGAAGACCAGAGAGGCTGAGGGCCTTGCCTAAGGTCCTTCAACCCCTTTAAGTGGCTCCCAGCCCCTCAGTCAGGGCTCACATCACCAAGCTACCACAGGGCCTGGAGCAGCTGCATGGGGAGTGGGAGAAGCCAGAGCATTTCTGTGGGGCTGTTCCACATGGGGGTGGGGGAGGCGTGGAATAAGCGTTTGTAATGGTCTTGCTTGGGATCTGAGAGGACCAGGGATTGGAGAGGGCCTTGTGTTTCCCTCTAGCAATGGACTGAGAGCTGAGGTCCGTTATGAATGTGATTTTTTTTTTTTTTAAAGCTGCCTTCAGCTGCTGCATGAGAATAGGCTGGGGGGCAGCAGAGTAGCAAGAAGACCTATGGGGAGGCTGCTGTAGATGCCTGCGCTAGGGGCTGCTGGCTGAGAGAAGGTTGCCATGGTGACAGGGACGTGGGGGTGGATGCCAAGAATGTGCCGAGTGGATCTGCAGGTCTTGCTGGAATGGTATATTGCAGGGCCACTGGTCAGGCACATGTGAGGGGCTTAGAACGAGAATCCAAGAGGGAAGAAGAGATACAGGGTGCCTGTATCTCTCTGCAGGGCCTTCTCTGGACCCAGGGAAGTCTGAGGCTTGGGGGACGCCCTCCCTAGATGGTAGCCCTGTGATTGACAGCCAACCTGAGGGTTGGAGGTGATGCTGAGGCAGGACCACTGGGCCCTGAGTTCTCCAAAGGCAAATGGAGAACTTTTTGGATCTTGGACCGCACTCTCACAGGGAGGAGAGGGGATGGCGAGGGAGGATCACACTCCTGGGTGGAATGATTGAAGAGACCCCGCGGCGCCAGGCACAGAACAGGCACTCCACTGCCTCACTCAGGCCCCCAGCCATCATGGTTCAGCCTCGGGCAGCATGATGATAGATGGAGTCCTTAGAGTATGCAGGGATAGATTCCTCATGGAGCAAAGCAGAATCTAGAGACAGGGGTCTTGGGGATCCCCAGTTGTTGCTCCCTTCCCGTTTTTCTAGAGAGTTCTGAGTAGAGGGTGGTTAGCGGGTCTTGGAGTCCAGAATGTAGAACCAGGGCTGTCAGGGCAGCGAGCCTTGGGGCATTAGAGTCTGGCTCCCCATAGGACCAGCCTTGGCCAGTAGCTGCCTGTGAGGCGAGGAGACCCCTGTTCCCCTTCTCTCCCGAGTGCTGGAGGCTAGCCCTTCTCCTCCTCTTCAGTTTAAAAGCTAGGCTGACCTTGTGAAGTCTTCCCAGCCCCAAGGATTGAGACGTGTCCAAAGGGTGGATCGGCCCTTCTCAGTTGGAGGCTCCAGGTCATTCTTGAGCGGACCCTTCCCTGGGAGGGAGTGGAGTCCCACATCCTCCAATTATGGGCCCACCGCAGGCCACAATGAGCTGTTCAGATAACCATCGGGGGCTGCTGACCTGCTGCAGGAACAATGCTGGCTGCTTGAGCTGTTTTCACAGTGGCCACAGACCTGCTGGGCCATGCGGGCCCCGGGGGAGCCACAGAGAAAGGCCATGCGGATGCTCCCCCAGACAGAGGAAGGACTCCGGGGGCTGCCCAGTGGCTCCAGGAAGCCTTTCTTGGTCTGCTCACTGCCAGATAGCAAAACAATTGGGGTCCTCCACCCCAAGCCTGCCAGGGAGAGGAAGGAGGTGTGGGGGAAGTGGGGTTATTGAGCTTCTGGGCCTCTGCTCCTTGCAAAGCCCCCCAGGGACCTGGCATGTCACTTCTGTATACCCTGTGTCTCCGGCAGCCGCTCTGGACCTTAGTGCAAGGTCTCACCACATCTCCCTTGGCACTGAGGTTCTGTTGGTGCAGCAGCACTTTCCAGATGCCCTACTGTGTGCCGGACTTCAGAGCTCCAAACAGGACAGGTCTTTATCTCCATAAACCTCTGGTCTGGTCATGGAAGAGACCGACAGCTGGGAAGTGTGCGCACGACCAGGGCGGTTGGTGCTCGGGTAGGGGTTGACTGTGGGAAGCCAGATTGCAGCCGAGCAGGTGAAGGCACTCTCCCAGAGGGCCTGAGCGGGGAACAGCACACTCTTTAGCTATTTCTGTGGGTGTTCTCATGGGGAGCACAGACCCTGTGTGCTCTGACCTTCCAGTGTGGTAAGAGGACTTGAAAATTTCCATTTTTCTCTGAAATCTGATATATCTCAGTGCCAGCGATTCACTTGGATCATGGAGACAAACAAGGTGTGTCTTAGGCTTTGTGGTGGCTACCTTTTTTGTCACTCATTTTATTCTGCAGCTAGGGAAACTGAGGCTGAGAAAAGAACAGGGAGGGCTATTAGCTCTGCCGGCCTCCCCAGCTCATCCCTACCCTGCAGCTCTCTGCCAGGCTGTATGTGAACCCTTGCACACAGGACCCTGGCTTGACAGGGTCTCTAGATGTGCTTGGTTAATTTCTTATCAAAGGGCTTGCTTATGTGTCCTTTGATGACATCCGTGGATGGTGACCAGCACAGGATGTGACAGTGCCTCTCAGCTAAGCTGTAGAGACACAAGGAGATGCTAGGAGAAGATGACCATCAGCTGGTCCAACCCTCTACCTAGGATAGAGGCCAAGCAGGAGGGTGACCCTGATCTGTGCCAGACTTAGGAAGCTGCCTTCTGTCCAAGCCCATCTGGGAAACAGAAAGCAAGACACCTGCTTGCTTAGGGTCCATGGGTTTAGCCGGGAGTCGACAGGACTGAAGAATGGATAGTAAGTAGCAAGCCCTGGTTCACAGTCTGGGGATGGGATCCAGGCTTTCCTTGCTCATAATCCACACTTACTCTGCCCTGGCATCATATCCTCAGCTGCCACAAGCATCCTTGTATAATTCTGCACAAGAAAGCCTTGTTTGGTTTTGTTTTTTCCTGCCACAAACATATTCGGTCATTGTCCATTTTCTATGCCCTGATGGTGAAGCCTGTTTCCCAGTATAGTGTCCTGTGCGGCCAACACCATCTTCTGCTTCGCTTTTCCACCTGGGAGCAGGTGCCTCCTGTAGGTCAGGCCCCACACTGTGTGGAGGTGTAACTGAGATGTGTGTTGCTGTCTTCTGTGCAGAACTCAAATTAGAAGTGTCTGTTGGTGTGGAGAGCTTCAGATAGCCTCTCCTTTGGAAGATGTCTGGAACTGCTTGCCCAGGGTACACAGGCTGAATGAAATTTGATGTTTGGGAACAATCTTGGGTCACCAGTGCTTTGGTTTAGCTGGTGCCTGGGAAATGGAGCCTGTTGCTTCTAGGGGTTGCAAGTGTTTCATACCTGAAATTTTGAGATTCTTGGAGTCTAAGTGGCTTCTTCAATGGGGACTCTTGGTGTGGAAGCTCCTGCTGCAGCCTGGGGAGGTAGGGACTGGTCCTAAGTCACTGGGATAGGCCTCATCATCCACGTTGGTTCTGCCTCCCCTAGAAAACGAGGAAATGGCCACCAAAGAGAAGCTGCAATGTCTGAAAGACTTCCACAAAGACATCCTGAAGCCTTCGCCAGGGAAGAGCCCAGGCACACGGCCTGAGGATGAGGCTGAGGGGAAGCCCCCTCAGAGGGAGAAGTGGTCCAGCAAGATTGACTTTGTGCTGTCTGTGGCCGGAGGCTTCGTGGGTTTGGGCAACGTCTGGCGTTTCCCGTACCTCTGCTACAAAAATGGTGGAGGTGAGTCTGGTTCAAACTGAAGGCTGGGGTCAGAGTGTGAGAGATCTTTTCCTATTCTGTGACCTTCTCCAGGCCAGGTATACCCTGCCTCAACTGCACCTCGGACACAGGGTCAGCATGCCCGAGTACAGGGGTGTTAGCCTCTGGCTAGGTTACCTTCTGGAGGACCCTCCCTCACCCTCTCTGATCCCCTGGTTTGTCCTGTCTGACCCATGCCCCCTCCACCTCAGACATTCATGCCCTCTATCCCTCCATTCCACCACCTCTGAGCTCACAGCCTTCCCTTTTAGCATCGTTGATACTGATTTTGCTTTTTAACCTCACCCTATGTATTCCCCAAAGCTAGTTCTGTCTTTCAGTAAATGACACACCAGTATCATTTGCCATAATGCAAAGGGGGAGGAGGAGCGGAGGAGATCCGTGAAGGTATTCTAGCTGTGGTGGGCTGAGTTGGGGGGTTTTGGTTGGACTTTTGTGTGGGCTGTGTCTCCTCTGAGAGAGCCCTCTTGGGTGTCAAAGTTAGGCAGCTGCAGCCCAGAGATGTTCTCCCTGGTGCAGAGTGGGGGCCAGAGGAGATTAACGTGGGTGGCAACCCCCTGCCAGGTGACTGTAAAGGTGGGCATACTTCCTGCTGCCATGGTAAGAGAGCCGCTTTTGGGGGACCTCCTCTTACACCTGGTTTCTTGACCTCATTAGGTATCAGACACCCTGGGAACTCTGATGAGTATCCTAGATACTCCCTAGAACAAAGCAGATAGCCTAGACCCAAGGTGCCCATAATTTCACAGGGTTTATGGACCTGCTGAAGCCATTAGTGTATGCAGGTAGGACTACCCCCCTCAGATACTGTGTTCCCTGTCACCCTGGCACCCACCACCAGCTGCCCTCCACCTGACCCATGTCTGGACCTTCCTGGCCGCTGGCCCAGGCTGGCCTGTGGCAGATGAGTGGAGTTTCAGCAGGAGGTAGTGCTGTACCTGGTCGTGTGTCCCTAGCAGACTGAGCCACTTCTATTGGGAAGGATACTGTGGAGAAGGCAGGCATGTGACAGGCATAGGCACCAGCCTTGTGGCTTGAAGAACCTGGTAGATTTGCAGATTCGTGGGTGGGGCCAGTGGGCAGGCCTGGAGAATCTTCAGTGGAGTCTGAGTTTGGCCTCCATGCTTACACCCTCATTCCTCGGATACCTTTGGTTGGGGGGGCTTGAGAGTGAGCACCTTCCTGCCCATGCTGTGACAGTCACAGCTTCAGCCTGTCCCCTCTGCTCTCTTGGCAGGTGCTTTCCTCATACCGTATTTTATTTTCCTGTTTGGGAGCGGCCTGCCTGTGTTTTTCCTGGAGGTCATCATAGGCCAGTACACCTCAGAAGGGGGTATCACCTGCTGGGAGAAGATCTGCCCCTTGTTCTCTGGTGAGTATGTAGCTGGTGTCAGCTGGGTCTGTATGCACTGAGTCCACCGGGCTTTTAGTGACACCTCCTGTCTAATGTGTTTATCAGATCTCCTCACGTGTATCAGTGCCAGATGCAGGGCCGCAGCATGTTGTGATGTCACTGTCACCAAGAGGCAGGGAGAAGGGAGATAAAACAGGTTCCTGGCTGCTCAGAAAGTCCCCTTTGGGCCACCTCTATGGGTGTTTGGATAAGTGAGCTGGCAGCTCTCTCAAAATGCAGGAATCTGGAGGACAGGCTGGCTTCAGGCCTCACTTTCTCCTCTCCTTGGGGTGGTTTTAGGGAAATGATTGAACCTCAATTTCTTCATCTAGAAAACAGTGTTCTCACTCTCTAGAGTTACTGTAAGAACAGAATGACAGTCATGTCTGAGTGTTTTGTCTGTGTGGCCAGCACTCTTGATGGTGGCTCCATTATGTGCTTGGTACTTAGTATATACTTGGAGTAATCACTACCGTGATTGAGTGGGAGGAGTGGGAATATGAGCCCCTTCCTTTACTCACCCACATAAATGCTTACTACTTTCTGCTTCCATTAAGCCCTCCACCTCCATTTCTTCCATCTACCCAGCCTTCCAACCAACCACCATATGTACACATATCAAGAGTTAGACTATATATAACGAATATATATATATAACAAATGGATATTCAAGTATGAATGTAAAGTTTGTCCATTTAGCTCTGCATCCATCCATCCATGTTTCTTTTTTTTTTAATTTTGCAATACAATTCAGTTCTACCATCCATGTTTCTATCCATCTATCCATCCATCCATCATTCTCTGTTTCCATCCACCCTTTTCCTTCCATATTTTCATTTATCTGTTCATCTATCCATTCATCTCTATTCTTGCCCATCCTTCCGTATTTCTATCTACCCATCTATGTTTCTATTTCCTCATCCGTATTTCTATCCATCTATATTTCTATCCGTCCATTTTTATAGAAGAATCCATCCATCTGTCCATCGGTGTTTCTGTCCACTCATCTGACCATCCAACTGCACAATCATTGTCCTGTCGCTACTTCTTTCATTCCTGTGATCCACCCAGCCACCATTTCTCTGACCGCTCATTCACATGTCCTTTCGTCCGGTGACTCCTTCATCCTGTGACTGTTTTCTGCTTATTGGTGAGCAGGCCCCTGTGGCCCACAGCCTAGGCAGGCCAGTGGCCCCCAGTTGAATGGGCCTTCTTTTTGACATGTGTCCATTTTGCTTACCTCGCCCCCAGGCATTGGCTACGCATCCATCGTCATCGTGTCCCTCCTGAATGTGTACTACATTGTCATCCTGGCCTGGGCCACATACTACCTATTCCAGTCCTTCCAGAACGAGCTTCCCTGGGCCCACTGTAACCACAGCTGGAACACCCCGCATTGCATGGAGGACACCCTGCGGAAGAACGAGAGTCTCTGGGTCGCCATTAGTACCACCAACTTCACCTCACCTGTCATCGAGTTCTGGGAGTAAGTAAGGCCGCGTCATGGGAAGGAGGAGGGGCCTGGGCAGGGCTATCGGGACGGTATCTTCATCTTGGTGGTAGGAGACCCTGTCTCTGGAGGGAAGGAGGACACACAGCTGGAGATAACTCCATGCCTCTGTCTCATACAAGATGGAGTTGAATCCTGGTTTACCACCTAATGGCTATTTGATTTTTTAGGCAAGTCACCCCACTGCCCTTTGAGCCTTAGTTTACCTATCAAATGAGGAAAATGTATAGCTCTTATTCCATGGGATTCCTGTGAGAGAATTTTCTCCAAATATAGGTGAATATGTGTTTGAAAATGACAATTTTCTTAATATATTTTGGGAAAAACATTGTTACCACAGAGAAAAATACATTTCTGTAGTTATTCAAATGCAAATGTGAGTTGATAGTAAAACTATGTATCAGTTAGTTAGCTCTGACTATGTAACAACCATTCCCAAACATGGTGGTTTTAATCAAGTGCTATTTGTTGAGCTCATGACTAATTGGTGCCGGTTTGGGTTGTGCTCAGTTTGGTAGGTCTGCTCTTGGGCTCCTTCATGTGTCTGTGGGTCCCTCTTTTGTGGCTGGCCGTTAGGAGGGCTTATGTGGTCTCATCACTCAGTCTTTCCCCATTTTGGCTTGTCATAGGCAGCTCTAGAGCAACAGTCAAGCCCCAGCATGTGAACAGCACGTAGATAGCTCCTTGTGTTAATGGCCTTGGGGGAACTCTCATGAGCGTGTGTTCCAGGACAACAGTTCCTGGAGGCTGATTAGAAACCCTGGTGTGCATCACTTCCTTTATAAGCACGTGCTCTTAACTCGGGGTGCTCAGTCAGGGACAGCCTCTCACCTCTGGAAATGACTGAGATGAGGCCCCACGTGCAGCGGAGAGCCAAGGCAGAGGAAGGCCTGTCCCTGACTCCCAGGAGATGAGATTCCCTCTCCTTGGTGGACAGTGGCTGCCTTTGAGGTGTTGCCCTACTTCAAGGAAGCCAAACTAAGGACCATTAGGAGGGAGCTGTGCTGTGATTCCTACAAGAATGGGTCAGCTGTTCTTACTTGTAGGAGGTGGTCTTTCTTGGGTGGCCTGTGCCATGCCTGAGCCTTTTGTACTCTATTCACAGGCAGGGCCCTGGGCTTTGGGGACTTTGGGTCTCCTAATGTGTATATTTTCCACTAGCAAAACAAAAGGGGCTGTTAAATGCATGTTCCCCACCCTTCAGAGAGCTGAGATTTTTAAACAAAGGAATGTTGGCACTTCACTCATTTCCCTTGAAGGGGCCCAAGGCCACAAGCCCTGGCCTTTCTGTACTGTTTTTGGCATGGCTTGGGTACCAGGGCCACCCCCCGCGGACTTCTGGCACCTGGCCAGCCTCTAAGCTGTCTGCCGAACCTCATTACCTTCTCAGTTTGAACTTTCATTCTGCCCTTCTGTCTTGGGCAGATGTGGTCTCCTCTCCGGGCCTCAGTGTCCATACCTGGGACAATCCTAGTACTGTCCTAGGGGCTATACCGCAGCCCCAGCTGGATGAGCTCCTGCATGGCCACCCTAAAAAGCTGTCCCTTCATGCTGTCGTCATTGTGGTTAAGCATCCTTTCTTGGGGGGGGGCATTTAGAATCTGTATGTGGTCCCCTCAAATGTCCACAGGCCCTGGTGGCAAGGGAGCCATGCTCTTTGTGCCTTTGCCTGGCACCTGTCATTGTGACATGAAGCTCTTGGAAGACGTCTGCTCAGTGCCCTTGTCTTCTCCTTAGACATGCCCAGCCTGAGTCTATTCCAGCACCTTGTGTTCTCGAAGCCTTGCGCAAAGCACTTGGCCTTTGTTTCTCATCAGGAAAGCCCAGAGACAGACTTTAGGAAAATGCCTGGTTCCACAGACTTTTTTGCAGGCTCTTCCATGGTGTCTGTGGATATGCTGTGCCCAAGGAGTGCTGGCTTCTGCCCACACGGGCCTGCACAGGCTCTTGACCTAACTTTGAATTCTACAAGAACCTCTGAGAATACCTTGGTATTCACAGAACCTGAGCCTGGGGTCCACTGAGCAGAGCAGCAAAGCAGGCTGAGGTGAGGCCCCAGGGCAGCCTCCTGCTGAGCCTGTGTCCAGAGGTGCGGTGGGGCAGGAGCATCAGCAAGTCGGTAGGGCTTCCTGCTTCGAAGAACCTCCCCTTGGGCTTGAAACAGGGGTACAGAAGGTGAAAGGCTGGGCACAGTGAGCTGTCCGATGCAAAGCCTTCTCCTCCTCCTCCATTTAATTTACTTTAGGAGGGTTGAGGTGTGCACATCATGATGTGTGTGGAGGTCAAAGGACAGCTATCCCAGTCAGTTCTTCCATTATTATTATTATTATTATTATTATTATTATTATTATTATTATTGGTTTTTCGAGACAGGGTTTCTCTGTGTAGCTTTGCGCCTTTCCTGGAACTCGCTTTGTAGACCAGGCTGACCTCGAACTCACAGAGATTCTCCTGCCTCTGCCTCCTGCGTGCCGGGATTAAAGGTGTGTGCCACCACCGCCCAGCTTTTCCCTTTAGTTTTTACATGAGTTCCAGGGACTGAATTCAGGTCGGCAGATTCAGTGGCAAGTGCTTTTTTATCCAGTCAGCCCTCTTGCTGGCCCCTGAGGTTTCTTAAGTAGGGAAAAGAGTAAGCCACTGTGAGAAACTCTTCCATCCATTTCCTGTGCAGTTCACTGGCCCTCTGTCAGGCATTCAGAATCTAGCAACTCTCCCTGTGCACACCACACCCCTTGAGGGACTCCTATATGCAGGTAAAGGACACTAGTTGGCTTCTTGCTCTCTCCCTGCCTTTTCCTTGAAGCTCTGGTCCATTCCTGGCTCAGAGCTTTCCTTTGCTTTTCCCACACTGTGATCTTACCCTGCCAGAAAGGAGTGGGTGGGTACAGCAGTGCTCACTGACTAAGCACTGGCCCAGGCCCAGGCATTTTTCTCTTGTTTCTTTACCTGAACCAGATCTGGAGGTCTTGGAGCCAAAGGTAATAGGCACAGTGGGAGCTGAGCTTCCCCCCAGTTTCTAATCGCTGGAGGACTATGTCAGCCACCCTGTGGCCTCTCCCTTTTGCTGGTTACCATGGAGGCAGGAGAACCTCAGAGGGAAACTCCCCTTCCCGGTGTGGCCTAAGTGTAGCGCGTGTCCCAGCCCTCTGAAGTCAGGGCAGTTGGAACTCAAGCTTGAGTCTCCCTTCTATGCTCTGTGAGCCAGAGTTAACCTGGCCCCAGCATTCACATCTGCTCTGTAACATTAAGGAACCTGGACAAGCTATTTGTGCTTACTTAGGGTTCTGGGGACCCAGCATGGACACAGGTCCATCCTTAGTGAACATTTTGTCTGTGTTCCACCCCACCTCCCACCCCTGGGTTACAGGGCAGGCCTTGGAGCCAAGTCCATGATCACAGGTCACGTGGTGCACTGCTTGTGTGCGTGCACGTCTGCATGTCTCTGGTCAGGCATGGACTCCTCTGTCAGTGTGACCCTGCCACACTGACCCTGTCTGCAAAACCAGGCACCTTCTCAGCCTCAGCAGCTCCGATTCCCGTGAGAAGCCACTCGGCCCCAGAGACTGACATTTTAACATTGGCGTTAGGGTATGTTTGGTGGCTGCGTGGTAGGGCCACAGAGCTTCTGCCACAGCCTCATCTCACTGGTCCTCACCTCTGAGGTCACCTCTGTCCCCAGACCTCCTGCTTCCTCCACAGGCCTTGGAGGACAGGCGGGGCCAGGTCTGGCCGAACGCCCTTCAGCAGGCTGGAGCCAGGCCTTCCTCCGAGGCTCCTGCAGAGCCCCCTGGGAGCCCAGCATGGATCATTAGATTCTATTAGAATCAAAGAAATGAGTCATATTTGCAAACAAGCCGTGCTCAGCCAATCTTTCTCCGTAGCTGTCGGAAGGAGGAGGTGGTGCGGGAAGGGCTGTGTGGGGGCCCCATGCTCCGGCGGGCGGCCCTTTTATAATTGTTGCCTCTGCCAGTCTCCAGGGGACTGCTGCGGCCAATAAACGGCTGGCCTGCAGTCAAAAGGAAACGATTTGGCCCACTCTGAGGATGAATTTACATCTCCAAGTGCTGACTGGACGGCAGCAGGGCAGCCGGCTGCAAGCACACGTCCAGGCCGGCCCCTCTTTTAGTTCCCATCCTGGCAAGATGTGTCCCTTTTCTTGGAAAAGATCTGCAGCTTACCTTCATGTGCTGGGTGCTGTGGTTCAGACAGATGCAAGCCCTGCGTGCACAGAGCTGACTTGCTAGTAGACACATCAACCAGGCAGAAAGTAAGATGTGAGTGGGGAAGGGCTGACGGCAGAACCAGTGCTGGGGAAAGAGCGGGCTGGGGTGCAGTCAAGGGGCCCGTGAGAGAGGGAGGTAGCGTGGACAGCTATGCACCCACGATGTCTGGCTTCCCATCGGTTTGCTACCCTGGTCTTCTTGCTCCCCACACATTCTTTTAAGCATCAACATTTGAGTGGAAGGTGAGAGGGACAGGTTAGGAGGGGAGGTTGGAGCCGTGGCAGGATGTGGAGCCAAGGATGTGAGCTGGCATCGCAGATACTGTGGGGTCCCTCTGACAAGTTCGGTGGAGAATATTATAGGTTGGGAAGAAGTTACTGTAGTGGCTTTAGGGTGCCATAGGGCCTGAGCAGGGCATCATGGGCGGGGGAGATGCAGGTGTTTAGGAGTCGCCCCTGAGTGACGTTGTGTGGTATCTCATGAATGCACTTGCAGTTTATTGAGCCTTGCACTCACAGCAGTGGGAAGGCCCCAGGGAGATCCACAAGTCCCCCTTGGAGGGAGAGTCCCTCTTGGAGAGAGCAGGTGCACAGAGGACAAGCAGAGGGTCCCTGCTGGGATGCAGATGACTGGCTACTCTCCAGCTCAGGCCTGCCTGGGGCTGTCAGAGTCTGATTGGCAGACTTCCTTCCTTCCATTCCTGGGACATTTTGTGGCCCTGGCAAGCTACCTGAAGCCTGATGACAGAGCTGTCTAATTTCAACACTGTGTAATTTCAGGTAGAGGCAAGATAATCAACTATTTAAGGCCAGCCTGGGCTATGTGAAACCCTGTCTCAAAAAAAAAAAAAAAAAAGTCTAGCCGAGGGTAGGGGTGGTGTGGAAGGGTTGGCACATGCCTTTAATCCCAGCACTCAGGAGGCCGAGGCAGGCAGAACTCTGAGTTTGAGGCCAGCCTGGTCTACAAGGTAAGTTCCAGGACAGCCAAGGCTACACAGAGAAACCCTGTCTCAATTTATAAAGGTGTGTGTGTGAGGGTGTGTGTGTGTGTGTGTGTGTGTGTGTGTGTGTGTGTGTGTGTGTGTGTACACGTGTGTACGTACTCACAGAGCAAAAGAGCTGCCTTGATTTCTGAGTCCCTGTCCCCAGGCAGCGCCTGCTCGCCGTCTGGCTGGTGTGTATTTGGGGTCTCCCTGTCACAGCAGCTGGTCTTCTGCAGATGGTCCCTGCTCTCAGGGTTCACTGTGTCCCTCAGGGTATTTATGCTGCTTTATCAGCGTATCAAGAACTTGACACTGGTCAGTGTGCCTGCCCCAAGGCTGACTGTACCCTACAGAGGGGCACTTGGGTCACCTCCTGGTGAATGCTTTGTCTCTGGGCCCCCACGCCGGTAGAATAATAGGAGATGGTCAGGGGAATGGAGTGACTGGGTCAGGGAAAATTCACCTTAAAATGTCCCTGGATACCAACCACCCTGCAGGGACTGTCCCCAGCAGCAGAGGGATAAAAGGACTCTATTTGTTTGTCTCAGCTGCCCAGAACAATTCTACTTGGCAGTGCTTAGCAGCAGTGGGCACTTGGCTTTGCCTAGCAGGGTGGTAAGAATGAGCAGAAAGGGGGTCATGACCTGGATGGGTGGGGCTCTCAGGACCAGCAGGATCTGGCTTTGGAGTTTCTTCTTGATGGATTGCCCCAAAGAACAAAGAGACGTGGCGGTCTCGAGGCCAATCGCTAGCTGAGAAGACTGTGTCTGCTTGCTGTCCACGGGGTGGTCAGAGCCAGCGGGAAGGCAGGCAGGCAGGCTAGATGGGCTCTCTACGCAAGTCACCTGGAGCATCGGCTGCAGAGGGCACACTTGTGGAGGGCAGGCCAGGGAAAAGGCTGCCGGTGTGAAGGTGTGGAACAGGGCCACGTTCTTCTCCTCTGATGTGGCCCATTCACGGGAGCGTGGGCTGTCTCTCCTTGTGCTCTGAGCTTCCGTGGCTGGCACCCAAGTGCTGAGTGTTGAATGGGAAAGGCTTTTTGTTCTAGGGTGCTGCCAGGCCTCAGCTTGGCAGGGGCTCAGCTGCATGTGGTTGGCTTTCAGCCTGCTTTGTGAAGGAAGGTACCCCAGGATGCTGCCCCGAGGCACCAGATGATCCCAGCTCTGGTGGAGGACTGGAGGGCCCTTTAATTTATTGTAATTTTTTTTATTATATTTTATGTCTAGAGGTGTTTTGCCTCTCTCTCTCTCTCTCTCTCTCTCTCTCTCTCTCTCTCTCTCTCTCTCTGTGTGTGTGTGTACTACTTGTGTATCTAATGCCCCAGAAGCCAGAAGAGGGTGCAGTATCCCCCGGAACTGAAGTTACACGTGGTTGTGAGCTGCCATGTGGGTGCAGGAAATTGAAACTGAATCCTCTGGAAGATTAGACAATGCTCTTAACCTTGAACCAACCTTCCAGCACCTGGAGGTCCTTCTTAAAAGCGGGCACTATTTTCTTTTAAAATCACACCATGTTGTGGTAGAGTCAGGAGAGTCTTGGGAATCAGGCAGGCCTGGAGTTTTAGCGGCTTTGCGAGTGTGGGCAAATGGACCCTCCAAGCCTTGGTTTTCCCATCTGTGAAATGCAATGAGCTCTACTCCTTGGACTGAGTGAGATCAATGGAAAAGGACGTAGTTAGGCTCTGCTGGCATTGGTCTATTGTGTGTTGGTCACCCACTCTTCTAGAGAACTGGTGAGGGGCAGTGACGTCACTGTGAGCAGCAGGATAAGAACCAAGGAAAGTTGCCCCTCTTTTAGGCTTGGGGGTACCTCTTGCATCAGCCCAGTAGTGTGAGGCTTGGTTGTCATCCTGGGTGGTTCATTCATTCAGTGGGTGTTTGTTGAATTCTTCTGTGTTCCAGGTGTCATCCTGGGTCCTGAGAACAATGACTGTGGACCAAACATGTTGCTTGAAGGCCATTTGAGAAGGACCCTTGGATTTATTCAAAATTCCTTATGTTGAGGCTTTTCTGGAGGGGAAAAGCCAAAAGGTCCTGGTCCAGATGGTACTTAAGACCCATCTGGCTTCCTGACTATGGGGTCCCATTAACTCACTGAAAGCTTAGAACACTGTAGAATGCTTTCCTAAGTAAGCACCCTAAGTAGAAGCTGGCACTACCAGTTTACAAAAGGACACACCAAAGCTCGGAGTCTCCACTCCTGCTCGGAGGGTAGCCTGGGACAGGGGTCTGCCTGCAGCTTTACGAAAATAGTCTTCGTCTGGGACTCTCCTGGAGTCCTTTCTGCTGTGGTTGACAGCTTAAAGACTGGGTGGCGTGTAACCTGGAGACCCAGTGTCTGGGGAAGAGGTCTGCGTGCTCAGCATGGGTGCTCCAGGACACCGGGTCCCTGGGCAGTAGGTTTCCTGGTCATCTTGGCTGTGAGCACCCTGTGTTAGCTCCTACGGTTCCTTCCCTGCTTCTAGAGAGTTCCAAAATCCTGGCAGGGAAGGAGAGAGGAAGCCAGCACTACTTAAGCTGCCAGCAGCTTCTGTGGATATGCTTCCATCCTGCAGTCATGTGATCAGGTATGGCAGCAGCCAGCCACCTCCAGACCTTGGTATGGTGTCGGACATTTCTGTGGTGTCTTCCTCACAAGTTACTGCAGCAGGATGGGTGTTCTGTGCCCATACAGGACCCACTTTGCCTTTCTGAGGCTTATCCCTTGGGAAAGATCTAAATACTGTGTGGTGTTAGGGTTGTTTTTTGTTTTGTTTTGTTTTGTTTTTCCGTTGATTAGGTTTGTTCTTTTGAGATAGAATCTGACTATGTAGCCCTGGGTGACCTAGAACTCATAATCCTCCTGCCTCATCCTGAGATTACAGGTTAGATCAAGGAAGCTAGGACAGAGGATGCTGGGAAGGGGAGTCCACCCCCATTTTACATACTGCAACAGAGGTCTGGGATGGTTAGGTAACTTGCCTGGGGTTAACAGTTGGACAGAAGCGGAGATTTGAACCTGTGTTTGGCTCACGGTTAAAATTGAAGGTTGTTCATGGGTCCTGCAGATACTCAGTTCCCATTTAAAAGACATTTTGTGTGTGTGTGTGTGTGTGTGTGAAGTCAGGAAGTCAGAGAACAGCTTGACAGAGTTAGTCCTTTACTCCCCCCATGCAGGCCACAGGTCAGTTCAGCAATCACCTTCATGTGCCTAGCCATCATACCACCCAAATCAGTATCCATTTTACAAGTGAGGAAATGGAGGCTTGGGGACTTAACTTGCTCAGGGCCCTGCTGGGTTGAGCCTGAGGTCACCTGATTGACTGCCCTGCTGTCCTAGTGGCCTCCATTCTCTTCCTGACAAGTGGGCACCAAGGCTTATGCACATGCAGTACCTGGGGCAGGGGCTGCCACTGAGGTATCTCTGTAGAGACGGGGACAGGTGTTGATGTCTTTTTTATTTATTTAAGTTTTTGAGACAAGGTCACACTCTGTAGTCCAGGCCAGCCTGGAATTCATGATGTAGCCCAGGCACGCCTCAAACTCGAGACCGTCCTGCCTCAGTTTCCCCGGTGCTGGAATGAAAATGAACATTGGTATTTTATTTCATCATGGTGCCAGAGACGGAACCCAGAATTTTGCCCATGCTGACTTTGCTGCCAAGTGGCCCCCACCGCCCCCAGGCCCTGACCTCTTGTTCTCTTTCCCCAAAGGCGCAATGTGCTCAGCCTGTCCTCCGGGATCGACGACCCAGGCGCTCTGAAATGGGACCTTGCGCTCTGCCTCCTCTTAGTCTGGCTCGTCTGTTTTTTCTGCATCTGGAAGGGGGTTCGATCCACAGGCAAGGTGAGTGGACTCCTGTCCCCAGTCTCGGGGATAGCCATACTGTGGCCAGTCTTCTGCTTGCAGAGCTCTACCCTGGGAGGAGGGCCCATGTTGGGACATAGGGTGTTCTGACAGGACAGGCACACAGCCCTGTGTGGTGATCTCTCTCACTGGGTGAGGATCACTAGTGTCCACCACCCACTGGCCAGGGATTTAGTGACCTAGTGACTGGGGGGCAGCCAGGTATTCCCCACTGAACTCGTGATGTGCAGTGTTGGTGTGGTGAGCAAGGCTCACGGAGCCAGAGGCCAGTCGGCAGCCCTACCGCTGGCCGAGGCCGTCAGCTCGCAATGTGGACCCTAACTTCGCAAAGCGGGCTGGCAGCCACCCAGAGTTTAGAACAGATGTTGAAGCAGGGCTGTCCAGCTGCCCTGTCCCTGTACTGGGGTGCAGAGCCCCTTGCTGTCCTGAACCTCAGTCTGAAAGGGAAGCCATCCAGGCTGGGACCACACCCTACTAGCATCACCCCACAGGACAAGCAGACCGAGGGAACGTGCTGTAGCCTGTCTCCTTAGGGCCCCTGTCCACTGTGCTTCCTCCTTCCCGGCAGTCCTGGGAGCATGCCTGTTGCTTTCCTCTAAACAGTGAAGAAACTGAGGCCCAGAAGAGGTCAGGCAGTTTGTCCTAGAGCAGCCCCTCCCCCAAGCCCGTCCCCTCAGTTGTCAAACAGTGAGCATGAGGTTTGAGATGAGGCATGTCAAGTGCCTCAGATCTGGGGACCAGTGGGCCTGAGCCACACTCTCAGGGGAGCAGCAATTGCCTTCTGCCCGCTGCCCAGTTTCCCCAGACGGAAGCGAGTCTGCCAGCGAGTGTCCAAGGAGCTTTGGTGCTGAGCATGCTGGAGAGCATCAGTCATGTTCAGGGGTGCACTGATGTCCTTTGAGCCTCTTGTGCATGGGTCCTGTCTTAGAAACAGGGTGAGGGGATCTACAGTGGTCGGCATCTGTGACTGGCTGGGAAGAGCTGGGCTGCAGAGAGAGGAGCATGGGACCCAGGTGCCAAGTTACAGGAGAGAAGAAAGGAGTGTGGAGTGACTTTTATAGGGTGTCCAGGCAAGGGCTACTGAGGTGACTGAGGAACGGTGAGAAGGGAGTGGAGAGTTGAGTGTCTGAGGGGAGTATTGCAGGCAGAGGTAATGTTCACTGTAAAGGCCCTGCAATGCATCTGGCCAGGACATAGGAAGCCCCTGGTCTGATGGAGGAGGTTGATATCCACCAGGCACAGTCAGCAATATTTCAGACACAGCATACTACCAAGGAGACAGAGCCAAGGCCACATGCAGGGTGCCAGGCTGCAGCTGTGGCTCCTTGTGGAAATGTGACTGGCCAGAGCCCACCTCCCACCCCCCCACCCTACCCTGAGCTGCACCCTGCTCTGTGGAGCACGCGTGGTTCCTAGACTAGCGGGCCTGATGGGTCAGAGAAGCCAAGACAAACAGCTCTGTGGACTTCCTCCAGCTCAATGCTGAGAGGCGCTCAGAGGCCCACCCGCTGGCTGGCTTCAGCTTCCAGCCCTGGCTGCAGACCAGGTTCCTAGCCGTGGGGGCTGAGCCCTCGTCCTGGCCAAGCCTGCTTCCGTGGCTAACTTAGTCCAGGAAAAAGTAGGGTGATGGATGGAGGCCTGGGCCCCAGATGCCCAGGACCCAATTTCAGGTGCTTGGCTTGGATCTTTCCAACTCTCTGAGGGTCTGAAATAGGTCCCCAAACTCAGCCTCAGTTTCACTCCGTCAACCAGTCAGGTAGCTGGGGTGGTCCACATGGCTTCTCAGGGCTGGGTGGCAGCTCATTTGATCCCCGGAAGTTCTTTAATCCTGTACAATTGAAACTGAGGTTCAAGAGAGCTTAACTGACTTGCCCAATGCTACACCGCTTCTCAGCGGCCAAACTGGGATCTGAACGCAGGCAACTCTCTTCTGCCCTCCTCTCAGTCTCATCCCTGTGCTGGGCTGCAGGTGCAGCAAGGCAGACTGCCGAGGCTCACCCAGGAAGGGCCTGGACATGTGCGTGGCGGGGCCTGTGGTCACACTCCAGGGTAGACAGTGCCCGACCTGGGTTTGGACTCAAGCTCTGCTCCTACAAAATGGAATGACTTTGCAAATTCCTCTCACCTGCTCAGCCTCAGTTTCCCCTGGGGTAAAGTGAATGATTGAGTCCCTCTTACGACCCAGGCCATCTGCTCCCAAGTAAAGTTGAGTAACAGGAGGCTGGACGCTAGCTCCCTCTTGCCACCCACCAACTAACAGTGGGCTGGGGGTGAGGTGCCCTGTAAGCTTCCATTTTTTTCCTACAAGGCCCCGGGCCCTGACATCGGAGGAGTTATGGAGGATCAGCAACAGGAGTGGAAAAATACCACGTCCCACAGCAAGGCCTACTGGGCCACCGTCAGGGGCCCACGGTGGCGCCTGGCACCAGCCTCTCCTTGGAAGATCCCAAGGGACAGTCACGGAAAAGTTGAGAGAAGGGCTCTCGGGCTCATCCAAGAAGCAGCAGAGTCCACACAACAAGGGTGGCTTTCTCCAGAGATGGCTGGAGCCGCATGACAGGGGGTGTCAACAAACAGTCACGCCCCTGGAGAGATGGGCGCCCTAAAAGTACTCGGCCTAGATCAGATCCCACCGCTGATACCTCCTACACTTTGGGGGCCCCAGGCAGGTGACACTGGCCAGTGTGGGCCTAGTTTCCTTGCAAGGGAAGGGGCAGGCTGTAATGGCTCTGAGCTCATCCAGGGGTGCTGAGTATTGAGTAAGGTCACAGCACCTTACTGGGCACATAGTAGGCATCACAAGCCAGGGAGCCCCCCACGCCCCATGAGCTCACCAGGGATTCTGGCTGCCATCCACTTGCTTTGAAGCGGTAGCCCTCTGGGGAACCCTGAGGGGCTCCTGTGTGTGGCTATTGTTTACCAGCTTGGGTGTGGCCTTGCAGGGCCCCAGAGAGGGGAGCTGGCCAGGGGCGCCTGCCCGCCTATCCACAGGAAGGGAGGAGACAGGCAGATTTTCTTTCTTTTACCCTTTCAATGGCTTCCTGACTGGCCCTTGTCCTGGGTGTTGGTCTACCCATCAAGGAAAAAGAAACAGGGGTGGCTGGGGACACCGAGGCCGAGGCCGGGAGGAAGAAAGGCATCCAGGGAGGCGTGTCAGGCAGGAGAGGGCTCTCCTTCCATCTTGTAGAATGCCACCAGTGTTTGGGTTGTTAAGTGTTTCCAGCCACTCCCTGCAGACATTGACAGAGGGTGAGGTCAGAGATCCCCCTTGGAGCTGCAGCCACAGCTGCCAGCTGAGAGGTACGACAGATGAGTGATGAACTCCCGCTGACCCTCTGGGCCAGTCACCTCCTTGCTCTGTAGCCTCAGCGCTGGACCTCCAGTCCAAGGCTCTCACCTTGAGGTGGGGAGACCAAGTCTGGAAAGGGATAGTGACCACCAGCTGCCAGGCACTGTGCTTGAGTTCCCCTCCAAGGGCCTTGACTCCCTAGAAAGTGATGGTCTCCCTCAGGCCTTCTAGCCCTTGTCAAGGCCAGCTGCCCAGCAGTGGTGTGACCAAACAGCTCATGGGACCGGGCAGAGGGCATTATTGCCAGTCTCTTCGTTACCCCCGACTCTGGCCTGTTGGGACACACCGTGTGACCTCACGGGTCTCTCGTAAGCTGGGAAAGTTGACTGGGTAAGCTGTCCATGACCGGAGAGAAGTTCCCACCCACCTCCTCTCAAGTCGCTGTCGCTCAGGCTGTGTCTTAACAAGCGTTTGCTGTCGTCTGACTGTGTAACTCCTCACCCGTCTCTTGACAAGGGCTGTTGTGACTCTTGCCCTCATGTCACAGGAGAAGAAACTAAGGCCCAGAGAGAGTCGTCCTTGTGTCCCTCACCTGAGCAGGCCCAGAGCTGGAGCTGAGCCACTTGTCAGGCAGGCCCTGAGTGCTGGGATTACAGATGTGTGCTCACACCTGCTGCTTTTTTTTTTTTTTTTTAAATATGTGTGGGTATTTTGCCTACATGTACGTGTGTGCCTAGTGCCTCTGTTGGCCAGAAGAGAAGGCCAGATCCTTTGGAACTGGAGTTTCAAATAGTCCTGCGCTGCCGAGTGGATGCCGGGAACTGATCTCAGGTCTCCGCAAAAGCAGCGAGTGCTCCCAACCACTGAGTCATCCCTCCGGCCCTCTCTGATTATTTACCCTAGTGTCGTACTGATGGGTAATGGCGGCCAGTGTGTGCTGAGTGCCATGTGACAGCTACTGGGGCTGAGCTGTCGCACATACCCCTGATGATGGGTGATTCTCGGTTGTATGCTGTCTGTATTTTTCCTCCTCGTGATCAGCTCTTCAAAGCAGGGAGGATTTGTTTTCCATCTTGCCTGCTTTTTTTAAATTCTGAGCTTAGAGGAGCTATGTAAATTATCCACAGGATTTAATTTTTTCCCCCCCATCTATAAGCTAGATCCTTATGTCCTGTTTAGGGAAGGTGTCAGAGGCTCACAGCAGGTGGGACGTTCGCAGAGTCCTTGCTGTTCCCAGTGTGACCTGCTGCCTCCGAGAGAAGAGGAGGTCTGCACTTCAAGAGCATCCTGCAAGGATGCTCGCAGGCTTACCTGACTCCCTCTCGCCCCTCCAGGTTGTCTACTTTACCGCCACTTTCCCGTTTGCCATGCTTCTGGTGCTGCTGGTCCGTGGACTGACCCTGCCAGGTGCTGGTGAAGGCATCAAATTCTACCTGTACCCCGACATCAGCCGCCTCGAGGACCCACAGGTATGGCAGGGTGATGCTCAGGGTGCAGGAGCCAGTGTTTCTTGTGGCTCTTTCATGCCCGTGTGTAGACAAGCATTGCCGCCTAGTTCTTCTCCACTGGGCCAATGGTGGCTTGCTGCCCTTCCAGGCTACAGAGCCCATCTCAGGCATGGCACTGGCTAAGGCAGGGGCTCCTGCTCTGGCCATGCCAGGACAGAGATTCAGTATTCAGTATTCAGGACAGCATCCTCAGATGAGGGAGGGACTTAGGATTGATGGTGGCCCTAAAGGTTAAGGGGGTCATATTGTAAGTCCCCCTATCCCTATCCCAGCACATAGCTGAGGGGTGTCGGGAGTTGGTGAAACCCAGGAGGCTTTTGTGTGCCCTTTGAGACCTTTGTCCCAGGATCCCAAGCTTTTCAGTTGCCTCCTAGGGGCCGGCATTTCTGGGTCTCCGAGCAGGGTAGGGTTGGTGGCAGCCTGAGCTGTAAGCTGGGAAGGTAGGCTTGCTGCCTTCCAGAGCTACTGGGGATAGTGTCTGGAGAAGTAAAGAATGCTTTGAATTCTAACTCAGGTCCCTGGACTTAACCGTCCAAGCAGCCTTGACCTAGGAGTAGACAGAATAAAGACCACTCTTGCTTGAGTGTGGAAAGTCAGCTGAAGGTCAGGGTAGGTTAGGGGGCACATTCTGTAGATATGAAAACTAAGGCTCTTGGAGTGGTGCTGGTCACCCCAGAGTTAGAAGTCTAGTCTCTTAACTGATGCACAAAGAGGAGGCACCTGGCTCTGCTTTCTGGGGTTCCTTGCATCTCATCGACACTGAGGATCCTAATGCAGACCTTGTCATGGTTGGTCAAAAATCCTCACATTGCCAGACACCCCCCCACCCCCCAATGCGCGCTCACCCTAATGCTCTTCCCCTCCCTCCCAGGTGTGGATCGACGCTGGAACCCAGATATTCTTTTCCTATGCCATCTGCCTGGGGGCCATGACCTCACTGGGAAGCTACAACAAGTACAAGTATAACTCGTACAGGCAAGTGTCGCGCTGGCGGGCCCCCGTGAACGTTAGAAATGATGATTAAAGAAAAAGAGAAGTAGGGAGCGTGGCTTCCTTGTGTTGTGATTAACTTACCCCCTGACGTGTGTGTAACTTAGGGACTGTATGCTGCTGGGATGCCTGAACAGTGGTACCAGTTTTGTGTCTGGCTTCGCAATTTTTTCCATCCTGGGCTTCATGGCACAAGAGCAAGGGGTGGACATTGCTGATGTGGCTGAGTCAGGTACGGTGGTGTTGGTGGCAGTGGTGGTGGGCACTGCCACCTAGTGTGTAAGATGAGTACTGCAGGCATGGAGCCAGACCCCAGGGGGATGGAGGGAGCCTGGCGTTTACATAGACATCCCCTCTCCCCCCCAAGACGTGCCCCCATACCTGAGTACAAAAGCTACAGTCAGAGGTTTTCAGTGCATCCTGGCCCACTGAAGGTGGGAGGAACAAGGGCGGTTGAGATGGGAATTGGCGGCTGTTTTAGTCGTGGTCTTCCAGCCCCCAATCCTTCCCCAGCAACCGCTGGCTTTAGCCATGGGAGTTGCTTTCCAGCTGAGGCCCAGGTCAGCCACAGCTGCACACCATCGCTGGCATCTTAGCCTCCATTCCTGCGGTTTGCTCTTTGCTCCCGGCGAGCTCCACCACCAGGCCGATCCACTCTTCAGTCCTTCCTGTATCTGTTTACCAAGCCTCACCCCTCCCAGCCTCCACCACAGTCACCAGGAGTGAGAGGGCAGGGGAGGAACACCACCCAGGGACCGCGGCAGCCGATTTGGGAATAGGATGTGAGGACACTGCCGCCCTTAGAGAATGGGAGCCTTTTGGTCCCATGTTGCTACTCAAGACACCTGCAGTCACAGAATGGATGGTCAGTCTTAGGGTCATGGGTTCTGCACAGAGTGGGTCCTTTCTTAGCAACATGGGACCCAGAGCTCCAGTAAAGATGGTTCTGGAACATGAACTAGAATCCTACCACCTCATCACAGGATTTCAGAAATCTGGGTTTGAGGGCTTGGCCTTGGCCTCAGCCTGCAATTTAGACTTGAGGTGGCTGGGGTGGAGATCCCCAGGGGCCACCTCCCCGTCCAGTCCTCTTGAAGAGTGGTCAGGTATTGTCTGACCTAACCTAATTGCCCACAGCCCCTCTGGGGCTTTCTGGAGCCTGCCAAGGGCTCTGGGCTGGGGTTCCCTTCAGGCATGGGGATGGGGTAGGATGGGGGTAGACTGTGCATCGTTATTCTAGGGGTTTCTGCAGGCCAGGGGCAGGTACCCCAAGTCCCCGTCATTCTCTGCCTTTGACCTCCTTATGTTTGAAACTCAAGGTCATGTCTCAGTTTCCCAGTCCTGAGCCCTGGTATTGGAAGGTCAGAGGGTTCTTTGACACTGTGTCTCTAGATATTCATGTCTCAGATGAGATCAAGGGTCCCAAAGCAGGAGTCTTGCTTGAGTGGATTGGAGCAAGCTAGGGCCACAGGCAGCTGCTGAGTCTCCACCCACTGCATGTCTGTCGAGCCCTCTACTGTAGGTAGCCCTTTCCCTTCTCACTGGCTCCTCTGACCTCAGGCACCCCTCATCCTCCGCCTGCTGCCAGGCTCTAATTCAGACAGACACACACACACACCTCCAGCGTGAGCTCCATGCTGTGCACATGTATCTGTTGCACTGTGTCCCAGTTGGACACTCAGAAGAACTGTTTGCCCATCCTCAGGGGCTCTACAGACAGGCGGGGACTAAGGGCACAGAGACTTCTACCAGAGCCTCCTGTGCTGGAAGTTGTGTGGCAAGGCACCCAGCACCACTTCCAGCCCCTCTGCAAATGTCGCTCTTTCTGCTTGCACATGCAAGGTGACTCCAAAACCAGTAACTGGGTGTCACCAGGGGCACGGAGGAAGCTTGTTAGGGGAGAAAGATGAGGCCCATCAAGGAGATCTTTGTGCACAATGGGTATTTTCATGCCGCATATGTGGTCGGTCCAAGCTGTTTCTTCTTTCTTCTACTTAAAGACATCATCGCTCCTTCCTCATAGTGATGTCTGAACAGCCAGCACAGCGAGAGGGACCCTGACTCCTCCATAAGATTTTAGCAAGCACTATAACAAAGGTGCATTTGAACGAGGGTATTCCACGGCCAAGGGAAGCCCAGACAGGACACGGTGTGCCGTTGTTGGTGGGGCATCAGAATGGCCTCAGCATTCTCGGCTTCTAGCCTCCCAAGTTCCTTGTCCCTTGGAGAAGGGCACTTAGCCCCTCTCCTGAGGCTGGCTTGAGAAAATCAAAAGTGAAAGACAGAAATAAGTGAACTGAGTCTGCTCACAGTGTCGGGTGCAGAGGTGTTGGGGGTGGGGGTCACCACACTTTACATCTATCTTGTAGTTGGTTAGTCCTGATTCCTCATTCTTGGGGTGGACCAGACAGGGCCAGAGCTTTGGAATCTAGGGGGACCAGAATGCTTTTGGTTCTAACTTAATTCCAAGTGTGTTTCATGATGCCCTGGGTGGGAGGGATGTGTTCTGCTCCCAGCCCTCTCCCCTTGATCTTGCTCTTCCAAGTGGCTTCCGGCTTGGTAAGCAGTTCCCCCACCTCCCGCTTACAGAATCTTCTAGTATCTCTTCTACCGACCACTTAGTGGGCTGCACCGGGTCATTGTTTCAGTAGGGTTCTCAGACGGCATCGTAAGACTCGCCCTCCCCTGCCGCGGTTCCGGTTGTTGATGCTTTATTAAGTGAATTCTGGTTCCGGGTTTTTGCAAAATTGGTTTGTTTTTGTGGATTTTTTTCCCCCTCGTCTTAGCCATTCATTTGGTTTTGATGTTTGCTTTAAAGTGTGCAACATCTTCCAAGTCTCCTGCAGTCTGGCCTGTGTTTCTTCTTGATTGGTTTGTTTTGTTTCTAGTAGTTGATTTCACCTTAGCTTGGCAGCCCACAAGTACCAGCTAGATAATGTCCCCCGAAGCATCTACTTGGGGGGGGGGGGCTTTTGCAAGCAGGAGATGTTTGTGTTCAAATGACTCTGTGAGAGGCACTCGGAGTGGGCAGAGCTCATGTCCCCCTTTGCCTCTGGGTCTGGCAGGAGCTCCCTGTTGATAAGAATCCATAGCCCTTTTCTGGGCGGTGATATCCACCTCTGAGAATCTGAACAGAAGGATCCTGGGGCCACCTGACCCTCCTATTTCAGGTCGAGGAAACTGAAGCCCGAAAAAATCTAGAGAGGAAGTGGTGGGTGAGGACTGGGATGTGGCTAGTCTCCTGGGCCTGGGGACCTGTCCTGCCCCATGCTGCCTCCCTTCAGTGCCAGGCCTGGCTGGTTCTACCTTGCCTTGTGTGAACTTGGATACCTGTGGGGGACAGAGGCCCCACAGGGATGCCACTGAAGAGCCATTTGCCCTGCTGGGCATGCTTCTAAATTTCTTTTTTTTTTTTTTTTCTTGCCATTTAAACAGTGTTTTAGCCATTAACCCAAAAATAGAAACCATTCTTTGCAGAGGAGGGTTTCACAGATCAGATGACCGCAGCCTTCCTTCCAGCCAACATCAGTGTGCGGCTCTGGTTTTGTGAGGGGTGGTCCTCCGTTTCCTAAGTCTCTGGCCGCCTGAGCCCCACGCTCAGTCCCACTCCCTGCCCCGAGGATCCCGTGTCTTGTACGGGTTTAGATTCACTTGAGGAGGCCATGTACTGGATAGGAGGCAGATGCTTACTTACCTGGGGCCCCTCCCGAGCCCCACCAGTCTCCTTCCCTGGCTCCTCCTGCATTGGGGGCTTAGGCGACCCTCTCCTCACTCAGACATGAGTGTTCTGTGAGGCCCAGGGCTCTAAGTGGCAGGGTGCTGATGCATGTCCTCCTGTGTCCCCTCCCCATTTCTCTCCCTCAGGTCCTGGCTTGGCCTTCATTGCCTACCCAAAAGCTGTGACTATGATGCCGCTGCCCACCTTTTGGTCCATTCTGTTTTTTATTATGCTCCTCTTGCTTGGACTGGACAGCCAGGTACGTGGATGTGGGGCTGTGGTGCTCCTGTGGGCAGCCTCATTGTGAGAACCCATCCTTATTGAAGCTGAGGGACATTCAGACCCTTCCCCCTCAAGCTCCCACCTCAGAGGCTCCAGGCAGCCAGAGAAAGGCCTTAGCCCTATTGCTCAAGGCTGTTACCCCAGCAAGGAGATGGGGTGTGTGTGTGTGTGTGTGTGTGTGTGTGTGTGTGTGTGTGTGTGTGTGTATGTGTGTGTAAAGTCAAGCCATAAGTGAGAAATAGAAGGCCGGGACCCAGAGGCACAAATGTCAGTGCATGTGTCGATCACTGTTCAGGCCACCACAGTCCCAAGTATGTCCAGAAAAGCTGAACAGCATTTGGCGTACTGCTCCTGATTCAGGCTAGCCTGTCCCCCATCCTCTGGCTGCTGTAAGCTCTGCCTTATCTGCATGTTTATTTTATTTCTGGGGTGGAACCCACGGCTTCACATGCACTAAACATGGACTCTGCCCTAAGCCGTGCCCCTCAGCCTTTTCCTTGTGCTCTGAACCCCACATCCTGCCCCAACTCCCTGCCAGGGCTCCATAGGAGGCAGTTGACTACCAGGGAGCGCTGGTGACAACCAGCCAGCTGCTGCATCCAGCTCAGGAGAGGTAGCGTTGTTGTATGTAACAATGGCCTCATCCATCATCTTCCCTCTGAGCCTCAGTTTCCTCATCATGCTTAACGGGTATAGTTTGTGAAGCACGAGGCTCAGCGCCAGAGAATTCAGGTGCCCGTAAGATTCATGAGAGGTTGTGGGTCTCTTTCCCTGAAGTGAGTGTCTTTTTGTGGGGGTATTTTGAGACTCCAGGAGGGAGACTGTGGTGTGTGCAGGACAAAGGGGTCATGCCAGCTAGAGAGACGGGGAAGGCAGGAGACGCTCCTGTGTGGCCTGGGTTTGGGTCTCCAGCTGCTTCAGGAAAAGTCCATCAAACTGAAACAGGCTGTGGGATCAGGTCTGGAGACTGACTCCTCACGGCCCTCCCAAGGGCCTCCCCAAGGGCCTCCAAAGCTGCTGTCAGGATGGGTCCTGGGGAGGACTCAGAACCTAGCAGAGGTAAATAAGTCCAGAGGAGGCAGCTCGCAAGGTCAAGAACACAGTGCAGGACTTGGCAGGCAAGGGGGCCGGATTAGCAGAAAAGACAGCAAAGGAACATTTCAGAGCCAGAAAAACAAATCCTTGTGCAGTTGGTGATGGGCAGCCATGGCTGTCAACAAGCAAGATTCTGTTAATCATTCCTGCTCTGAGAGCTTGGCCTGGCAGCAGACCCCATGCAGTGCCGTTTAGTGGCTTTTAGAACATCTTCCAGGGCTCAGAGGGGAAGAAGAAAACAAAAACACAAGTTAATAAGTGGCTAAGCGTGACATCACCATGGCTCCAACCAGGCTATGCCGGCTCACAACTTTCCCAGCCAGAGGTGCCTTGAGTGTTTTTCCCTGGGGGAGTAGGGGCTCAGTACAGGATGTGTGACTCTCCGCTAAGCCACAGGCTAAGTGGAGAATCTTGAGGGGCTGTGAAATCTGCCCTGGGGGTGTTCCTCTTTACCCTGCTTTGTAGAGCGGGGCTCCCAAGGCTTGGTGCTTAAGTGACCCGATGGTGTCATCACTCACTCAAGCACAGATGAGCAAGGACACGGACCGCTGGCCTTCCAGACTCTGGTTTACAGAACCTGGAGCAATAGGAGGCCTTTGGAGAAGCCAGCCCTACATGGGGGTGCAGAGAGTCCCACTGTGTGAGAGACCATCCAGTGCCAGATGTCACATGGCCGTTTTTTCCATGTGCAGCTCGTTGGCATCAAGCGTGTCTGATGTCAGGTTTTGTCCCTGGAACTTTTCCATCCCCCCCCCCCCCCCAAGTGGAGGCTGTTCCCCCAGCTCTGCACCAACAGTTGTCTTTATTTGTAGTGCTGGGGATCGGATCCAGGGCTCTGCCCATGCTAGACATATGCTCTTCCCCAGCCCACTGCACCCAGATCTTTATCCATTAGCTCCTGTCCCTGCAGCGTCCTGGCCTGGGTGTCAATGCCCTTTCTGCAGCCATAGCGACTGAGACTGAGAGAGGCCTACCTTGGCTCTGATTCCCAGCCTTTCATCTCCACTTGTTTTTTGTAGGTTGGCATTGGGACTGCCGGTTCAGTTGTTTTTCAGGTTCAAATCCCCTTTGGACACATCAATCAGAGATCATAAAGTTCACCCCTCTCTCCGAGCTCTGGTCATTTTATCCCTGAATCCTGGCTGCAGAGTGCCATCCCTCTGGCACATGAAGGGGAATTTTCTCTCTGTGTCCATTCTTATGTTCTCCCTCACCACCTCCCAAAGGCCTCCATGATTGGATCTTTCTCATGGGAATGCCGGGGGAACTTCTGTCCCCAAACTTTTTTGTCTTTTTATTTCAAGGTAACATTTCATGTAGACCAGGCTGGTCTCAAATTCACGGTGTAGTCAGGTCTGACTTTGAACTTCTGATCCTCCTGCCTCTACCTTTTGAGTACTGGGATTACAAGTGCGCACTACCACCCCTGGTTAATGAAGGGCTGCGGATCAAACCCAGGGCCTTTGCATGCTGGGTCAGCACCCTGCTGGGTGTTTACACCCTGAGCCTTTAGCAGCTCAGTTTTTCAATGACTCGGAGCAGTCTGGGTACAGCTCCTTTAATTTAAGTAACTCTGTGACCCTGAAAACCCCTAATACTGCCAAGACTTGGTTACAGACCTGTGTATTCGTGCCCAAAGACTGATGACAAGGAATGTTGTTGCCATGTCATTGGTTAGGTGAAGGGTGATGTGTCCAGAGGGTGCAGGTTTATGCTGCTGTTAAAAGCAAGGTGGCTTTTTGTGCAGGGACATAGTACAGTCTCCAAGATAAATCGTTAGATACAAAAAGGGCGGAAAGATGTAGAAAGACTGATAATCGTCCTCGAGCATGATGTGTGTAGATGTTCCAGAATTTTCTTTAGGATGTCTGGAACCCATGGATTCCTGGATCACATGACATCCAGTGGGTTGAAGCCGCCATGTGAGTCAGACTGGAAGTGCCTTCTGTCCTGTGGATGGGGAAACTGAGGCCAGGGTTTGCCCAGAGTCTTCCAGCTGGTTAGTGCAGAGGTTGACCTGCTTGTCGTGCTCCGGCTGAGCAGCCGTGTGAAGGGCTGGGCTAGGCATTCACTGCCTTGATGTGTGTGGCACTGGCCTTGACCAAGGAGAGAGGCTGTCATGCTGCACACTCACCCCCAAGTGTGTCAGGCCGGAGAGCTGGCCCTGGCTTCCTAGAGAAACATCTGCTCTCGGGTGAGTCTCCAGTGATGAGGGCAGGGACGACCTGAGTAGAGCCATACGTCCTGAGTTGCTTAGACCACAGACCACAGTGGCTGCCTGCACAGCCCGGGGTTTGGCTATGTGGATTTCCAGGTGGGTCTTGTGAGATGTTGCTCAGGACACAGGACAGAGCTCCTACGCCTATCTTTTGTCAGATGTGCCCAGGCCCTCCTCCTGAACCCCCTCACACCCCTTCTCTCTTTCTCTCTCTCTCTCACCCCTCAGTTTGTTGAAGTCGAAGGACAGATCACATCCTTGGTTGATCTTTACCCGTCCTTCCTAAGGAAGGGTTATCGTCGGGAAATCTTCATCGCCATCGTGTGTAGCATCAGCTACCTGCTGGGGCTGACGATGGTGACGGAGGTAGGTGGCTGGTCCTTTGGGTGGCATGAGGGATTTCCCTGCCTATGTTTGGATTTGATACCCAGCCACCTTCTCAAGGGCACAGGGGAGGCGAGTACCTACCATACCCCCTTAGGGTTGCGCCCCCACCCCCACCCCATCCTTAGTCTGTCCGGCTCTCAGTGATCGTGCAGCTTCCCCCCACACTTCCTTTTTGAGATGCTGTGGTCAAACCAAGGCCCTGGCACTTGTGTAGCAAGTACTCTACCATTTGTGTGGGTGTCTGCTGAGGAGAGCATCCGCTATGCCCAGAGGGCAGGGACTATACTTTAAATAGGAGGGAGAGAGGCCAGGAAAGGAAGGGAACCAGGAGGATTGAAGGCTGGAGGTTGCAGGGGCTGGAGAAAGGACAGAGAAGAGGGGATGAGCCCCCAGTACACCAATTTGCCTGAGTTCTCTAGGAGAAGGTTGTCAGTCATTGCCCCACACCCTGTTCAGGCCTTCACCACTTTTCTTTACCAGAAGGAGAATCGTTCAGGGAAGTGCTTCTAAGAACAGTCCTCTAAAGTCAGAAAGCATCACTCACCAAGCAGTGGGTTCCCTGGGCTTGGCCACACTTGGTTTTAAGATGACCTGTGTGTGTAGACTTCTGTGACTCTTTGTGTTGCTAAGACATGCTGTGCTCTCCCCCAACCCTGTGTGTTGGTCAAACGTGAAGTTGAGTTTGTTATGTAGCCCTAACTGGCCTTGAGCTCACAGCATTCACCTGTCTTGGCCTCTAGAATATTTGTTGTAAGTGCTATGAATCACCACACTTATCCCGAATATCATAATCTTCCTTCTCCTCCTCCTCCTCCTCCTCCTCCTCCTCCTCCTCCTCCTCCTCCTCCTCCTCTTCCTCCTCCTCCTCTTCCTCCTCTTCCTCAATAACCTGTATTTGGTCATCCCAGCTTTTGCCCATTTTTCTTTAGAATTTAAAATAAATGCATTGATTTGTCATAGCCCTTTATATATGAAGGGAATTGGAGACCATATAGCAAACCAACTTTATCTTTGATTTTTTTTTTTTCCTTTGCAGGGTGGCATGTATGTGTTTCAACTCTTTGACTACTATGCAGCTAGTGGTGTATGCCTTTTGTGGGTTGCATTCTTTGAATGTTTTGTTATTGCCTGGATATATGGTGAGTATACATGTTTACACATCCTTTTTCAAGCTGTTCATTTGGTCAGAGTATTTAATGGAAAAACTTCCCTTGCCTGGAATGTTCACTCTGGGATGCTCTTTGAGCATATCACAGACAATCCCACTGAAAGCACAAGGTGTGAACATATGTTGCTATAAATATAACACTGTCACACCAGAGCCTGGAAAGGGTCCATTTTGACCTCTTAGAGAACTGAGGTTGGCCACACTGAGATGTGGGCTCTGTCTAAGACTTCCGGCAAAATGCAGGTACCCAACTGTATTTGAGTGTCAAGCTGCCTTAGACACACATGGCCGTGTTTGGTGTGGAGATACAGGCCTGGTGGTTAGAGGCCCCCAGGTGACCCCTGCTGCACTGTTCCCCAGGGCTATGCTGGCTCTGGCCACCATGTCACCAGGGGCCCCCTGCTGTCTCTCCTAGGCGGTGATAACTTATATGACGGTATTGAGGACATGATTGGCTATCGGCCTGGGCCCTGGATGAAGTACAGCTGGGCTTTCATCACGCCAGCTCTCTGTGTTGTAAGTCTCACCCAGCCTGACATTCTCACCTCGTGGTGAGCTTGCCTGCTGACGAGCCTCTCCTGGGTGTGGGCTGTGACCAAGCCAGCTTCAGCTGTACCTGGGAGGGTTGGGGCAGTTTGCTCTTCATTGCCTGGTTGAGAAGGGTTTTGTAGGATCAACAGGAGTTTGTGAAGAAGAGGAAACAGGAAGGGCAGTTCCAAGGACACCAGGCCAGGCTGCTCTCCTCTGCCCGCCACCCTGGAGCTGGCCTTGATGCTTGCCCGGGCACCTTCAGCAAGGCCCTTCTCTAAGACTCTGCTTGTGAGGACCAGTGCGCTTTCACAGCAGAGCCTGGTCAACGCCCTAGGGATCCGGGGCTGTGGGAGTCCTGGCTGCACTGCTCTTCCTCCTGGCTAGCGCCTTGAGTCCGTATGAACCCTTCACTTTAGAACCAGTGCTCAGGGATGGACGGGTCCCCTTTCCTGTGACCTCTACTCTCAGGCCAGACCAAGCGGACATGCTAACTCGCTTCTCTATCTGTTTCCCCACCTGCGGGACTTCAGTGGCAGGTGACAGTTTAGAATCTGATGAGTGTGATTGTGGCTCTCAACACACATCCCCCAGACAAAGTCAAGAGATCACAAACAGGAGGCCCAACCCAGGCAGAGACGTCGTCAGCCGGGCTCAGGCCCGCACTCCATTCTCATTCACACCAGGCTTGTGCTTGGACTCCCCCTCACATTGACCCCCAGTTTCCTTCTCTCTCCTCTCTGGAGAGTTGTCTGGACCAGAGGTGGACTTCACTCTGGGGCAGGATGAGGCTACCTACTGGAAAGGCTAGATAGAGACCAGAGCCACCCCCGTGTGGGGTTTACTTCACCTAAACCACAGCTTTCTGGGCAGAAAGCATCAGAGAAAGGTGGGGCCCCGTGGGCCACCTGCCCTACCCTGCACACTATCTCCCCTCAGACCTTGTTGTTAGGCAGTGAGTAGCTGATTGATTTCACCCATGACCCTCCCTGGGGTGCCTCATTCTGAGGAGAAAGGTCTAGGGCAGTCCCCCAAGAGCACCCTCTCAAAGGCAAAAGCGGACTTTGCACAGCTTTAGGGTTCAGGGTTCGCCCCACCCTACTCTTTAGGACCAAGGCCAGGCCCACACCCATCACCGGAACCAGACCCGGTGACCAGCGTGCAGAGAGGCTGCTGGTGGTCTGGCTCTCAGCCATGCCTTAGACATTTATTGAGCACTTGCTGTGTACGCCTAGAGCTGCATCTGGTGTTAAAGAAAAGAGAGGCCCTCTAGAGCAGTGGTTCTCACCCTTCCTAACGCTGTGACCCTTTCATCCAGTTCCTCATGGTGTGGTGACCCCCGACCATACAGTTAATTTCATTGCGACTTCATGAGTGTAATTTTGCTACTGTTAGGAATCATAATATAAATAAATGTGTTTTCTAATATGAAAGGGTCGTTTGGCACCCCCCCCCCCCCATCAAAGGGGTTGTAACCCACAGGGTGAGAACCGCTGCTCTAGAGGGGGGGAAACTCCTGAACTTTGGGTGTCATATGGCTTCTGGAAGGAAAAGCTGGGGCCTGGGCGAGCAAGGCCCGTGCACCGGAGTGGAAGTAGTGTGAAAAGATGGAGCAAAGGGACAGGCAGGGGGAGCAGCCTGTGTTAAGGTCCTGGGCACACGCTGCAGAGCTGGAAAGAGTCCTGAGGGGTGGGAGCATATGAAAAAGGAGGTAGTCCTAGCTGTGGGCTGACATGGTTGGTATTCCACAGGACCTGGGGAGCCATGGAAGCACATTGAGTAGGTGATTTGGCCAGACTTGCCCGGGAGAGACCTAGAAAGCATACTATCACCCCATCTCCGTCGTCAGGATAGGAAGAGCCCCCCCCCCCCATAAGGCCCACCCTGCTCTCAAATGTCTAGGGACCCTCTGATTGCCCCATCTCTCCACAGGGATGTTTCATCTTCTCTCTTGTCAAGTATGTACCCCTGACCTACAACAAAGTCTACGTGTACCCTGATTGGGCGATTGGGCTGGGCTGGGGCCTGGCCCTTTCCTCTATGGTGTGTATCCCCATGGTCATTGTCATCCTCTTCTGCCGGACGGAGGGACCGTTCCGCGTGGTAAGCATGGGGCATGGGCTGTGGGGGGTGGAGGCCAGGCCGTGTCAGTTTCTGTGTGACCCTCTCCGAGTTCCAGGTCTTCTCTCACTACACAAAAGGCGGGAGATCCAAGGCAGGAGTATGCTGTGGGCAAACAAGGGCAGGTGCCCTCACATGGGAGAAGGCTTTGTAGGGACATTTAAGGTGGGACCATGGGCTTATGAGGAAAGTGCCCGAGGTAGAATATGGTCCTGGTGCTGGATCCAGAGGGTCAATGCCTAGAGAAGAGACAGTGGCCTTACGTGCCAAGCTAAAGGGTGTGGGATCTCTGTTCTGAGTCAGGACAGGAGATGGGCTTTGGAGAGGAAACCCAGCACCGCCCCCACTGTGGCTACCCTTTGTGCTGGGGTGTGGCACCCCCTCTACCCTGCTCCCAGCCTCTAGGACTGCCTGTCTCCTCATGGCGCTCCCTCCCTTCCCCCAGCCTCCTCAGGAATTCTTCCCACAATGCTGGAGCCTCCAGGCCTGGCAGTCCCCTGCTCTTTCCACGAAATCCCTTTCTCAGAATCTCCTTTAACCTTTGTGCCTGGGCCGGCTCCAAGGCCCCACAGTTTTATTCTGGGCTGTTTTTATTCTCTTACAAAAAGAATCTGGAGCCAGGATGTCCTGGGGCTCTGGCTCCCCCCTGAGCTGGCCCAGGCTTCCTCCCTTGGAGGGGGCTGTGTTGGCTGGGAGAGAAGAGAAGAGCCCTGGAAGGAGCCAGGGGGCACATGCTGGTCTGAGTCCCTGAGGCTTTCCTAGAGTGTAGAAGATTGGGGCTAGGACCCCAGCTCCCCCAGCTTCCCCAGCTCCTCTACCATTAAGCCAGAGTCTAAATCCCTCTCTGTTGTTAGTGCTGAAACACTGGATCCCAGGACAGACAGGCAGCTGCAGCCTCTGCTCTGAGCCCTCCAGGTGGCTCTGGGTGCCCCGAGTCAACCGGGGTTACCACCCTAGAAGGTCGTTACCACCCAGACATGAATTAGTTGGATATGGCAGAGGTTTCTAGAGGTCTGTTCTGGTTAGACAGCTTCCGTAGCAGTCACTAAGCTGGGGTGGGGGTCTCTTGAAAACCCAACTGGTTTTTGAGACAGTATCTGAATCTATAGCCTGAGCTGGCCTAGAACTCACTATGTAGTTCAGGTTGGCTCAAACACACAGCTCTCCTGCCTCAGCCTCCCTCGTGCTGGCCTTGTGGGTAGAAGCCCCACTATCTAGCTCAAGGAAGGCCTGATTTTAAGAGGCTGATCTGGCCCATGTGCACGGGTTCATTCAGAGTGAGCTGCTGGGGGTGGGGGAGGATGTCTCCCCATAGCTAGAGTGAGACGGAGGGGCCGGCAGGTGGCCTCCCAGTTGTGAGGGAGCTGGGGGCACATCTGGATCTCCAACCCTACCAGGATTCCAGAGCAAGCTGAGCTTCCCACGTCGTGGGGCGGGTGCCACTTCCCCACTTTGCACGCGGAGCCCCGTGTTCCAGTGCAGGAGAGGCAGGGTGGAGGGCGAGCAGGCAGGCTAGGTCTAGGGAGGATTGCAGGTCTGCCGACCCGCCAAAACAACTCACGTGTTAGTAGGAGCCGCACAGCCTAGAGTCACCAGGTCTTGTGGGGTTTCCCAAGAGAATGTGGACATGTGGATTCTCGAGGGAAATAATATCCTTTTAAATAAGCGGCTTTACCTCAGCCCCTTGGCAGTGCTGGGGAGAGCTCAAGGCCACGCATGCAGGCTTTAAGCAGCTTTTTCAGTTGTGATATGTCATAGTTGAATGTAAATACCTAGGCAGGCCTTTTGTTCCTTTCTTGGGTTTTTTGTTGTTGTTCTGTGTTTTGTTTTGTTTTTAAACTGCTGGCCCGTTTCAGTCTGAGCAGGCACTTGGCAGGAAGTGGGCAGGAGGCGGGTGGCGGGAGCCAAGTTCCATTCCCACCTCTGCTGGTGACTTCCTGGAGTCCCTGGAGAGGGCTCTTCCCTCACCAATCCCATGATCAGTCACCACACTGGGAAGTCTGGGCTCCATGCCTAGAGGGTCTGAGGATTCTCCCACCCGTCTCCTATCTGCAAGGGTAGAGCCCTCCCTGTAGTGGGCCCCCTCCTCGGCAGGAGAAGGGGCTGCCTGTGAAGAACTATCTCACAAAGGCTGGAGGCTCAGGCTCCGGGAGGCCAAGGAGTACCAATTTCAACTTTGAGAAGGTGGGGGAGGGGGAGGAACTTAGGTTAGTTACCCAACCCTAAGACTTTACGGTAGAAGCAGAAAGTCAGAGCAACCGGGGTAAGTAAACCACAGAGAGACAGGACTCAGCTTCTCAGGGGAAACCAATTTAGGACATTGGGGCCGTTCCCCTCCATTTCTGAAAATCAACAAAAGGCCCAGAACGGGTGGCAGCTGGCCAGGTGCCACAAAGCAGGCACCCTAGGGTATTCCAGGAGGTGGGTGGGGAGGGACCCCCTTGGTCCCCTCTTGACACCTCCTCATCTTCCTTCCACAGAGAATCAAATACCTGATAACCCCCAGGGAACCCAACCGCTGGGCTGTGGAGCACGAGGGGGCCACGCCCTTCAACTCCCGCTCGAACCTCATGAATGGCGCACTCATGAAACCCAGTCACGTCATCGTGGAGACCATGATGTGAGGTCCGGGCCATGCGACAGGCGCCGCTCCCCTGCTGTTTACTAACGTTAGATTCTCATAGGACCAGGTTTACAGAGCTTTATATTTGTACTAGGATTTTTTTTTTAATTGTCACAGAAAATGTTACTCTATGTGTATGTGTGTGTGTGTGTGTCATGTGTGTGTCTATGTGTATTTTGTTTTGATTTGGGGGATATTTTGTACAAAAAGAACCCACGGGCCTATGTCCTGGGGAGAGGATGGACTTTCTTATTGATTTTGATGTATTTTATGGGAACTTGGTAAATTTTTCTTTGTATTTTTTTTAACATATAATGATATATATACTTAGAGTCTGTCATACACTTTACCACTTGAATTGGTCTTGCCAGCAATGGATTTCATTTTCAAAAGCAATTCTTCGGTGCTTATATAGCTGGCAGAAAATTCTGCCCAAAAACAAACAAAAAAAAAAGAAAGAGAAAAAGAAAAACACCTAAATGCTGGGTGGAATTTTCCTATGATGATGGATACATCTTCAAGAAAGGTATAGTCCCTTCTGGGCTGGTTCAGGAGGAAGAACACAGCTGAGGAGAGGGAGCCCCCACTAGCTGAACAGACCTGAGGGGCAGGAGAGAGCAGGGCTGTGGGGAGAACCATCACTCTTTCTCAACCAACAAGAAAGACGCCAAAATAATAACTCCCCCCTCAGCATGAAGGATTGATTCTAAGAGCAGCCGAAGCCATTGGACCAGGGCCCAACCCCCTCCCTTTTATTTTGGAGTAGAGGGTGGGTAGTCAGTGGGATTGTCTGAACCACCATGGGTCTTAGAGGCAGGAATGGGAAGTCTGAAAGGCAGGCGTGAATGGGGCTGCGATCTGGGAGCCTCAGCTGGCTTAGGCAGAAACCTGGGCCTTTCTTGAGCATTCGATACAGTTGCCTGAGGCCAGTCCACAGGAGCTGCAAGGGCTTCAGAGTCAGGATCACACACAAGAAGGGGCCGTTGTATCTGAATGGAGTCATGGCGGATGGTGGTCAGGGCATTCCCCAAGCAGAATGCATTTTGGTGAGGGCCAGGAGGGAAGCCAGTGGACCAAAGGATATTAGCAGCTCAGGAGAGTGAGTGTACCCCAGACTGGCAAGTATACCCCAGGAGGGCACTTTCCTCCTTTGCCTCTTGACAAACTCTTGCTAAAGATGCCACCCTAGGGCCATCCAGCTCCTAGCACAGAATGTCCAGCGTGGCTATAGATGCTGGAACTTAAAGGATTTTAAGTTCAAGTACAGAGCCAACTCGGTAGTGACCTCAGATACTGTTTCCAAGCCTCTGCAGTGGCTGTTGAACAGGTGTTTGCCCCCTCGCCCCCAGGGAACTGAGAGAAGACAAAGGTGAATTTTATAGGTTGAGGTTGTCTCCACAGAGATTGAGGCCAGTGCCCCAGAGCTGGCTGACCTCAGGCAGGTCTGTTTCCTTCTGAACCAGGAGAGGGCGCTACACCTTCACCCCAGCCTCCACTGGGCCCAGCTGTGCCATCCTGAACCAACTTGCCCTCCTGACAAATGTACACATTTTTCTGTCTCCAAAGTGTCTGCCAAGTGACCCTCTAGTCCTCTTCCAGTGGTTGTTGAGTCAGCCACCCGTGATTGTACCGTGTTCCTACTGTCCTGTGTATTTCTGGTTGCTCTTGTGTTAATGTGAGTGTTGGAGTTTTTCTTCCCTGATTTTACCAACTTGTAACGTGTCCTGTTTTTCTTTTGTTTTATGGAACCTTAAAAGTAACCACTGTGGGTGATTGAAGACAGGTGAAATGTAAGGGAGAGGGGGCTCATCCAGCTGCGTCTGTGGTCATGCCTGCCTACCCTTCCCCTCCGCCAGGCACGCCACTCTGGTGAGCCTTCAGTATTTTGGGTTGGCAGACAAATGGCACCATTCTGGAAATGGCCTGACAAAGGCCTTTTTATCATTCCCAGATCAAATTCTAGACCAAAGACACAGCGGGCCAAGTCCCCAGGCCCTGCCTGGGTGGAAGGCCAGCCACCTGCTGAGCCCACTCCCCAACAGTGTCCCTGCACTTGTCTTCAATACTCACCACTGTCACCCAGCCCCTGGCCCTGATAGCCCTTGTTGTGATCTTGTCTTTCCATGTCTGCATGTAAGTAACATTTTGAAGTAGAGCTCATGACTCTGGTCCACCTGCCTCTTGGAGAGAGGGAGGGCTAAGCTGTCTACCAACCAGCCCTTGCCTGGAACAGGTCAGATTGTGCCCTGCCTGTCAGATGTGGGCAGGAAGCAAGGTACAATGCCAGATTTAGATGAGGACCATGGTGGGCCCAAGAGGACTCTCCTGGGCGATGTTATTTGGTCCCAAGAGCTTCATTAGCCCCCATGTGGAGGATCCCTACTGGGTGCTGTGGACAGTCCCAGAGGAGCCCCAATCCAAGGCACTTTTGTAAACAGGAAAACTGAGGCCTAGGGTAGGAGAGACTTTTTGTGAGCTGAGTGGAACTGGATAATTGAGTCATTTGTAGCTCCAGGCTCTCCAGGTATGGGCAGAAGGAAAGCAGGACCAGGGCATTGTCTAATTAACCCAGGCCTTCCCTGTCAACTAGAGGCCAGACTGATAGGGCCCCCTGCCTATGCTCATAGAGCAGAGAGCAGCGCCCACTTCTGCCCAACCTCACTCTCCTGCTCCCCGCAGGCCCATGCTACCCTTCCCTCCTCCCCCAAAGCCTTTAGGAGCTAGGAATTGATACCCTCCCGCCACCCCCCCCCTTCCCCCGACCAACTTGCACCACAGAAACTGAGGGCCAAAGACATTGCTAGTATGAAGAGCCTTAGGCAGGCTGTAATGGCAGGCCTTTGGCCTCCATGCAGCCTGAGGCTACGCAGGAAGTAGCCTGAGAAGGTTTCTTTCCTTCTTGGGAAGGAAGATCTTGGGGAAGGTTCCCTCTAGGCCTCTGGCCCCTAGTCCTTATCTCCCTGGAAGACCATGCAGACCGTAACAAAACAGGAGGAGAAAGTAGCATGGGTCCCCTCTGCACAGGAAGGGGCTTTCTGTATCCCAGGGTGTCACTACCATGGCCAACAGCATTCCAGCCCTGCTCCTCTGGATGGGGCAATGCTCTAGACAGTCTAAAGAGGCACCGATCCCGGTTCCTCTCTCCAAGATGCAGACACAAGCCAGGAAGGCACCTTACAGAAGGCCCTTCACAGCCCACTCAATCCTGAGACCCCCGTCCCCACGGACACTGTAAATACCTCTGTGTGCACATCCCTCCTTCATCAAGTCCAAAACCACACACAAAACAAAACCTAGATACCCCGAGATGGAGAGGGGTGCCCCGGAAGCCAGACGCAGGGCTCCCGCCGCCCTTCCTCCATGCTGACCTCCCAGTAGTTGGGGCTTCACAGGAAGCTGGCTTTCCATGCTCTTTGGGAGGGTAGAGGGGTGGTGGTGGTGTCATTACAGGCATGTTCTGGCATGTTCCCTGAAGGACAGAGCATCTTGTTATATATTTGGCTTCAAAATGAGATGGTAGCTCCATTTTTTTTTTTTAAACCCAATTAATCTTTCCAATCCCTAACAACTGTGACTCTGTATTTAGCACAAGAGAAAGCTGAGAACGTGGGTTTTGCCTCCTTCAGAAATATGTCTGGCTCATCAAGACATTTTTTTAAGAACTTCAAAATATTTTTAAGATATTTTAAACTTTTGTAAAAAATAAAAAACAAAAAAACAAACGCACACAAAAGAAAAACCTAAAACCAACCAACGAGGGGAGGAGCGTTTATGTTTGAAGGATCCTTGGTGTGTGACCTGTCTTGCAGTATACAAGCTCTGTGTATTGATGTTTAACGACGACGACCCTGCATTTTGCAGGATTTCGTTTTTTTTTTCCTCTTTTGCTTTTTAGATGAATATGTATATTGATATTTTAAATCCATCTTTGCTTTTTTTAGAGGAGTTTATAATCACCTTGTAACACAACAATAAACATTTCCTTTTTAAAATCCAAGAACGTGTGGTGGTGTGGTTTGGAGTGGTGTGTTCACCTCTACATGGTGGCAAACTGTACAGTTTATAAAGGGATTTCACTGTGGCTGGAGAGATGGCTCAGCTGTTAAGAGCATTTACTGGCCTTGGTTTTTGAAACAGGTCTCTTACTAGCTTGGGGCTGGCCTGTGAGCCTCAGGGACTCACCTGTCTCTCCTCCCCAGCTAGGGGATTGTAAGAACTACTTCACCTGGCTTTTAAAAAACAGTGATGTAGGGCATGATGTGGTAAGGTGGTATGTGCATATGAATGCAGTGCCCACAGAGGCCAGAAGAGGGTATCAGAGCCCCTGGAAGATGAAGTGAAAGGTAGTTGTGAGCTGCCATGTAGGTGCTGGGAATCAAATTCAGTCTCCTGGGAAAGCAGCAAAAGCTCTCAACCACTAAACTGTTCTCTAGCCCCCACATGGCAAATTTATATGGGTTTTGAGGGACAAACATGAGGGTCCTCATGCTTGCAAAGCCACGCACATCACCTGTACTGAGCCACCCCCACTCCCCAGCCAAAGCAAGAGTCACATTGTTACACATTGTTATTAAGTCTCTGTACCTTACAAGAATAAGTGTTTCCTAAGCCTAAAGTATCCCCCAAACCATGTTTTTCAACCTACTTTGAACTTGTAACCCCATGATGTATGCCCACCCCTTTTGCCTTGCTAGACTCCCGCACCTGTGATATATGACTGCCCTTTTGCCTTACAAAAATGTGTCTTCCCTGATATGAGGACTCCCCTTCCACACGATGGATTCTTGCACTTATCTATCCGACAGGCAGCCTTGAGCCCTAAGTCCCAACTCTTCTGTCCAGGTGCTAACAACCAATTATTTCAACAGCTTTTCTATCAACCCTAACCCTTTCCCATAAAAGGGACCTCAAAGTCGGTAAGGGGATGCTCTCTGTAATCCTAACTTTGGGAGAGGCAGCAGCTGGCCAGTTCTAAATACAGCTGGTTTTAATCAGACAGTCGTGGGAGTGGGTGGGTCTCCCCATCTTCCCCAGGTCTAACAGCTCCTTTATCCTAGCTCAGTCATTACATCCAGTTTCCGATTTTGGAGCATTTTGGATTTCAGGTCTTCATATAAAGGATGTGCTGTGCAATACACTGTGAAGATTTGTCACTCAAATTGTTTTAATAAAATGCCAATAGCCAGGCAGGAAGTATAGGCAGGACAACCAAACTAAGGATGCTGGGATGAAGAAGGGCGGAGTTGAGAGAGACAGCAACCAGCTGCCGAGGAAGCAGGACATGTAGAAAATGAGATAAGTGGGCCACGTGGCAAAGCATTGATAAGAAATATGGGTTAATTTAAATGTAAGAGGTAGTAACAAGCCTGAGCTATCAGCTGAACATTTATAAAATTGATATTAACTCTCCGAGTCAGTTATTTGGAAATGACTGCTTGTTATTTGGGAGCAGGTGTGGGGACAGGAAAACTCCGCCTACCATGACGTTCCCTGTACTAGCATAGGTAAGAACTGCTGAGAAGTTCCCAGACCAGGTTTGCTCTTGGGTTCATAGACTTCCTAGCCAGATCTTGGGTGGATTGGGGACTACAAGTCTTCTCTGGCTGGTTTCATAGTGTGACAGAATAAAAGAGCACCTCGCCACCATGTTCCTGCTATCCTTTTGATGGCCTCTGTCCACCTCCATCCCTTTATGCTTCCCAGCCAATTGGCTTGTGTTTGGATCCTGGCTCCGCTCTATACTGTGTTCTAGGCAAGTTACTTAACCTCTCAGAGATCTGGTCCCTCCTCTGTAATGTGTAGAGAGAGTCCTTCTCTGAAGGCTGCTAGAAGGCTCTCACTGTTCTTACAAAGTGCTCTGAGCTCTCCTTGGCACATAGGCTGTGTGAATGGTGGTGACCCTCACTCCTTACCCCCACCCCCTGCCTCCCTGAGACAGTGAGCTCACAGACATCCTGAGGGAACAGCTTCTCTCTGCCTTTAGATCTGCAAGTTTCCCCCGCCCCATGGGCCTGACCCTGTGCTCTGGACCCTAGAACCAGTGAGCTTAACTTGCCCCAGGGCCTCAAAACTTAGGAGCAAAAGCCAGACAGCCAGGCTACCCACTTGGCACCTCCTTTCACCAAAGCCAAAGATTCCCTGGCTGCACAGATTACAACACATCCCACACTTCAGCCTAGTTTCCAGTACCACCCTCTCTGGGCTGTAGAACCTGCTAGATTCATTCATACTGCAGGTCCTTTGCACTTGCTGCCCCCCCCCCCCCCACCACCACCACCACACACACACCTGGGACACTTCCTCCCTGTCTTGACTGGACTGGCTTCTGTCCTGCAAATCTTACTGTGACTATCACTCTTTCAGAGAAGTCCTTCCTGGGTTTCGGTTCTCCTCACCCTGGTCACTCTGTTGCCATAGGTTATGTTTTCTTCACTATTCTTTATGCCTTCTCAAAAGACTATGACCAGTTCACTGTTTTCACTAGGGTGTACAGCCAGCTGGCTTTTTTTTTTTTTTTAAAGATTTTTATTCATTGTGTGTATGGTGGGTAAGTGCATGTGAGTGCAGTGTTAATGGAGACCAGAAGGGGGTGTCGATCTCCTGGAGCTGGAGTCATGGGCAGTTGTGAGTTGTCTAATACAAGTGCTGGGAACTGAACCCAGGTCTGCTGGAAGAGCAGTAAATGCTCTTAACCACTAGGCCCCCAAAATGGCCCAGTATTTTTTTGTTTAAAGATTTGTTTCATTTTATGTGTATGAGTGTTTTGCCTGTGTGTGTGTGTGTACGTACACCACATGTGTGCATGATGCCTGCAGAGGTCAGAAGAGGGTGTCAGGTCCCCTGGAAGTGAAGTAATAGATAGTTGTGAGCTACCATGTGGGCTTTGGGAACCAAACCCAGGTGCTCTGCAAAAGAACCATGCTGTGGGATATCTTTCTGTATGCTGTGAATATGTGTGACTCCCACTGGATGATAAATAAAGCTGTTTTGGCCTATGGCAAGAAAGTTTACAGCCAGTCGGGAAATCCAAGCAGAGATACAGAGAGAAGGGTGGGGTCGAGAGGGACATGAGCCTGCCTCCAAAAGAGCAACGAGATGCCAGCAGACTGGTAAGGCCACAGCGACGTGGCAACATATAGATAAATAGGAATGGGATAATTTAAGATGATAGAGCTAGCTAGCAAGAAGCTGAAGCCATAGGCCATACAGTTTGCAATTAATATAAGCCTCTGAGTAATTATTTTATAAGTGGCTGTGGGACCGCCAGTGGGAGAGATTCGTCCAGACTGCGGGGCAAGGCAGGACCAGAGAAACTTCTGGTTACAGAACCAAGAGCTCTTAACGACTGAGCCATCTCTTTAGCTCCATGGACCATTTTACGAATGAGTGAAAAGAAGTTGGGGGCTGAAAGCTTTACACAGCTGAACCTTGCCAGCCTGTTGTTATTATTTTTTTTTAAATAAAGCAAACAACCTACCGTGTGCATTTAACCAATTTTATTAAAAATTCATCCCAATAGCACTCACCTCCCCCCAGTCGCGGTGATACCTGGTGGGACAAAGATTTATCCATGGGTCCCAGACAGACCAGACAAACCGGCCTGTGCAATGGAGCCATGGCTATGCTGGGTGCTTCCTGGGTGCCCTAAGAAAACCCACATAGAAAAATACTTTACAAGGAATATGTTCTAATATTAGCCAGAGAAAAATACAGCTCTGGGGGTGGGGTGGGGGGTGTCACAGGGGAGGTACCCAAAATGCATAGGCAGGCAGGATGCTCACTGGGGAGGGAGCTAGGGATGTTGTGTGGGGCAAACACCCCTGTGAGAAGCCAGGGGGATATTGCATATGAGAAGGCCTCAGGCCATGACCAGGAGGACCACCCGCTTGGCCTAGTTGCATATGTCTGGGAGGATGGGAGAGCCTCAGCCCGAGGGGAGGGCAGGGGTTGAGTTGTGTTTTAAGAGCCTGGAGTCTTTGAGTGGAACACAGATTTCCCAAGCCAAGAGACCCTAGAGTACAGTCAGTCATACCACATACCAGAAACCCAAAGCGGCTGAGCCATCTGCCCAAGATCACACAGTACTGGGTGCTGGTGGCCACGAGTCACCTCTCTGCTGTGCCATTCACCTGCCCTCGAAGCTGAAGGTCTTGATTTGCCTGTTGCCCGTGATGGGTGGGCAGTATCTTTTTACCCTGGGGCAGTGAAAGTAGAGGGACCCTGGAGAAGCCATCACAAAGGGCAAGGTGTGGGGGAAGCCGCGGAAGAGCAGAGAGTCAAGGGGTCTCAGTGGGTAGGTGGAGATGGCACTGTGTCTGCTCAGATTCACCCAAGGTCGCACAGCCAAGAAGGGAACCAGGAGCAAAGAATGCCTTCGTGGACCCCCACCTGTCCTCTTGAACAGGGAGTCTTTCTGGCAATGAGTTTCAAGGGCAGAGAAGGGGAGATGGGGTAGGGTTGGAGGCCCCTGGGTCCTTGAGACCTTGAGCTGGGCAAACACAAAGCCAATCCCCAGACCAGCCCAGACCACTGGGAGGTGGCTTATGTCCTGCTTGAAGCTGAAAGGGTTCTGTTTGGCGGAGATGAAGGAAGCCCGATTTAGGGATGCTGGTATCCCCAGCTGTAAGAGGGGGCCTCCTTGAACAGCCTCTTTGGACCTTGCTCCCCCATGCTACTCTCTTGTCTTTCAGCCACTTTCTCTCCATCTCAGCTCCTCTCTCTCCTCTTCCTCCTCCTTCCTTCCACTGATAGGGTTGGCAGGAGAGCTGTGACTCAGCCTTGTTTCCGTATCTGTTGGAACAGCAGGTGAGTGGGTGCTCCTGAACTTTTCCACCCCGAGCAGTGACTTGGGCTAAGGTTTTTGTGGAGCAGGAGGGTTGATAGCCACAGCTCTGCTCTGGGGTATAGAACCAACCACGAAGCTGAAATGATTGAGCCACCAACCTGAAGGAAAAGGCTAGCATTCCCAGATGTCCCTACTTGGGGTTTCCCAGTGTGGGCATTGGATGCTGGAGGCTCTCAGAACACCAAGGTTTGGGAGAAAGGAGGTTGCTATTCTCCTTGTGCCTCATCCTTCCTGGTGGCAGGGTCCCTGTATGACTGGGTACCACCCATCCAGTTGGATCACCGAACGCTTCCTGCCACAGTCCAGGACTGTCCTCCTGCTGATTTGCCTCCCAGGATGGGAGACACTGGCAGCTCATTTCAGTTACCATGCTGAGCTGGGCTGTCCCTACTCCTGTCGCTGCTCTGAGGTAACAGTGCAGGGATCTGGAGGAACCCCAGCTCTCTCCTGGCTGAGCAGCAGGGCTGACCCCTGTTAGCTGGGGTTCTCTGAGCGTCTTGAAGATCCACCTTGATGATGCCACTCTGCCGGGTGTGGAACCTGCAGACCCACAAGTGGATGAGTGGGGGCCACTCCTCCAGCTGAGCTGCATGATGACCTCAGAGCATCTGGGGACTGCTGGGGCCTGGTGCTCGTGGTGTCCGGCGGCTCTGGGCCAGTGGGTTACGGCTGACAACCAACTCCAGGATGTCCCCAGCCTCTGCCAGGAGTGGAACTGCCAGACAGCAGTCGAAGTCCCGAGTTCGAACATGGTTGACCTGCACAGTGCACAGCCGAGGGACAGAGTCCCTGTAAATGAAAGTTCTAGAAAGAAGCTGCACCTACACAACTGATTAGAACCGGAGAGAGGGTCAGGTGGGACGGGACCAAAGCTGCGAATTTATCTTAGCTCCCACTGAATAGCCGTTCCTTGCCCACCTATGTCTGACTTAACACCCTTTCAACGATCAAGTGACCATTAGGTTCCACCAACCCCCCCAAACTAAGAATGGCATCAGAGCCAAAGCATGGAGTTCTGACTTGCCATAAACCAGCCTACCTGATATATCCACCAATATTTCCTTGTAAATTGTACTGATTTCAATCACTCATGGCTCTAGAGTAAACTCTCTCATCCCCTTTGAGGTGAGAACTGTGTTTTTCCTGAAATGAAGTCCTGCCCCACCCAGATTTAGGAGAAAACATAAATTAAGTACATTTAGAACAAAATGAACAAGGGAATAAAAATAGCTGGAGCAAGGGAAGAGCAGTCTTGGAGGCTAAGTTAGGAACAGCCTTGTTTCCCAGGCCCTTTCTGTTAGAAGATCACGTGACTGGTTCTGGCCCGTAGGCTGGGAAGGGATCTATCATATAATGGTTTGGAGTGAAGGCAGGAAAAAAAAAACCAAAAGTTTCCTACACCATGGAGTCTAAGGAGGTCACGTGTCTCAGAGAAACAGTTACTAGACAAGCAGGCCGTCTGTCAGCCAAGGAGTCGACAGCAAGTGGAACCTCAGCCTCACCTGACTCACCCCACTGGCCGTTCCATGCACTTTCAGAGTTCGAATCAAGCTCTGTCCCTGGGCCAGTGCTGGGGCCCCCCTGAGTTACCTGCAGGAGTCTGTCAAAGGGCTGCAGGCCTCCGTGCTGGGCTGGCCCATCAACGCGCACAGTGTGGACATAGACACCCTTCTCCAGGAGGCCATCTGAGACGCTGAAGCCAAAGTCGTTCCGCACCGGGTCCTTGTGCAGGGTCACCTGGGAGGAGGAGGCGGTGACCTTTGCTCCAACCCCCATCATGTCCCTGGGATCCAGGCCCAGTCTACTGGCTGGCCATACTCTAGGCTGCCCTCAACAGTCTTGAGCCTGGGCCCTGTGGTATTGACCTTGCCATGTGCAGCCCGCAGGTCCCAGAGCTCAAGGGTCTCTTAGAAAGGGGAGTAGGGGATCATATCATAGTGTTTTCATCACCCTGGGCAAACCCCTGGATTTGGCATGTGCTCTGATGTCTTGGTTCTTATATAGATACACACAGGTGCAAGAGACGCAGGTGGAGGTGGTGCCAGGAAGGTGTGTCAGTCATCTGCTTACGGTGGCATGCAAAGTGGTCTCTTGGTGTCTGCAGGGTACCAGTTCCTGGACCCTATGAGGATCCCCAAATCTGCAGATGCTCAATGGTGTAGGTTCTGCACAGAACCTGTGCCTGCCCGCCCACGGACTCAAGTCCTCTCCAGAGGGCTTCTGAGACCTAGCTCATGGTTGGTGCTACGCAGATGATTCACCAGGAATGAGGTCCAAAGTCAGCCCATGTTCGGTACAGATTTTTTTTTCTGTGAATACTTATTATTATTATTATTATTATTATTATTATTATTATTATTTTAGATACGGTCTTTCTATGTAGTTCTGGTTAGCCTGGAACTTGCTATATAGACCAGGCTGGCCTTGAACTCACAGAGGTCTGCTGGCCTCTGTCTCCAAAGTGCTGGGATTAAAAACCTATACCACCATGCCCAGCTTTTCCCTGAATACTTTAGATCTGTGGTTGGTGGACTGAATTCAGAACCTGTAAGAAGGGAAGACTAACTATATATATATATATATATATATATATACACACATATATGTAATGTAACCTTAATGTGTGTGTATACATGTGTGTATGTAACATACACATTTGTATATGTGTACATCCATCTAGGGATAAAGTTTGCTGAAAAAGAATAGCCCACTCTGTATCACAGGTGTGTCTGTATGCAGGTGTAGGGTGCAATTACCCAAATGGTGAAAGTTTCAGAAAACCTAAAAAAAATCCCTGGGTGTTTTTGTTGTTGGTGGTTGGTTGGTTTGGATTTTTAAAGTTTCTATTATTTTATGTGTTTAATATTTTGCCTGCATGTATGTCTGCATACTCCTTGTGTGCCTGGTGCCCTTGGAAGCCAGAAGAGGGCATCAGATTCCCCGAAACTAGAGTTGCAAATGGTTTCTAGCTGCTGTGGGTGCTGGCAATCAAACCTGGGTCCCCCAAAGAGCAGTCAGTGCTCTTAGCTGCTAAGTCATCTTTCCAGCCCCCAAGTTCCCATTTTTCAGTGAGGGAGAATAAATCTCAACAAAGGGTGGGGCCCCTCAGCATCCCAAGCAGGTAAGCTCCTCCTGGTGCCAGGCCCCCAGTGCCCACACTCTGCCTGCTTGCAGCCCCCAACCCCAGTGCCCACCCTGTGCATCTCCAGGGGCATTGGCAACAGAAGCTCCTGCAGGTCTTCAGGGGATGTTCGGACCTCCCGGCTCCGGCGCCAGGGCTGAGATCCAGGCCTGCCATCCACAGCCACAGTCTGCACAGCACCTGTCATGATGGAAGCCTGTGGGGACACGATTGTCACTCAGACACCATATACTTACTCCATCTGGCTCTGTCAGGCAGGCACGTGGTCACAGGGTGAAGACAGTGGAGGAGGTCGTTGACCAACCACAGAATCAGAACAAGAGCCTCTGGGGACTAAGGGCAGAATAACATCTGCTCTGTGCCAGGCTCAGTCCTCAGCAATTATAAGTTTAACTCACTCCACGATCTGTAGTACTGAGCCGTTTTCTCTGTTTTACAGACAAATAGGTTTAGTGAGAGAATTTGAACTCGGAATCTGACTCCACAGTCAGGGTTCCGAGCCTTCGCTCACAGCATCAAGGCACATCTATCCTGGAGTGAGAGTCCAGGACAGAGGGAGGAGTCGGAGATGCCTCCAGAGCTGATGTCTCGAACAGGGAGGGGAAAGAAGAGCATCCCCAGCAGAGGGGACATGGCAGAGCTGGACTATGGGGACGCCTGGAGAGTCAGGGTCTTCCAGCACCCAGCAGCCTACAGGAAGCATGTGACTTTTTATCCCATGGTGACAACAGGGTGACTCTGGAGCAAGTAATTGGTGAAGAATGTAACATGGACAGACGTGAGTGTTTAGGAGGGTATGGTGGCCAGGAAGGACATGGTGGGACCATGGAGCTGCCAAGCAAAAGGGTCATCTGGACAAGGATGGAGATGAGAAAGGAGCAGGACTGTGGGACGGGATGGGGCAGTGGGCAGAGTCAGAAGTGCCCATCATGTGAGTGTGAGCTGAGAGCATCACATTCAGAAAGGGACATCCACAGACTACAGAGGTGCCAAAGTAGGATGAGCCTCTTCCAGTGTGATATTCCTAGGCACCCAGCTATCTCCCCAGCCTAGAAATTTCTCTCTTCACATCCATCATGGTATCTGAGTTTCCACTCTGTCTGGCACTGATGTCCAAGTGCCTGGAAGACTGAGAAAGCAACTGCTTTAGAGAGAGCCAAGCTGTCAGAAAGAAGTGGGGGAGAACCTTGGTGGATGGATGTAGGTGCCTTTTGCACATCTCTTACAACTTGTCCTCACCTCCTACTGGGAAAGACCAGAGACTTGGGATCTTGGGATAAGAGTCCTTAAAGAGCAGAGAGCTTAAGTGGTAGATCGATGGGGCAAGTGCTTACTGCACACGCATAAGGAGCCACGTCAAGGTCCCAAAAACCTGTGTAAAGGCATGGCAGTGTGCATCTATAATCCTAGGCAGTATGGCGGATGGGAACGCAGTCCCCTGGGGCTCACTGGCCAGATAGTCTAGCCAAAATGGTAAACTCCAGGTTCAATAAGAGACACTGTCTCAAAATAGAAGGGGAAGGGGCTGGAGAGATGTCTCAGTGGTTAAGAGCACAGGCTGCTCTTGCAGAGAACCTGGATTCAGTTCCCAGCACCTACATGGCGCTCACAACCTATGTAACCAGTTACAGGAGTTCTGATGCCCTTTTCTAGCCTCTGTGGGAAAACTGCACACAAGTAGACACATATACATGCAGGCAAAACCTGGTCTGGAATTAGCGAAGTTCAAAGACTCGAGGCCTCAGACACTCCACTACCACAGGGCACAGAGTGCATGGGCAGCTGCAGCTACAGCAGCTGCAACATTGGAGCTGAAAAGCCCACCTGACCACACACCCAACAGACAGGTGAACCACACTCTGACCACACACCCAACAGACAGGTGAACCACACTCAGACCACACACCCAACAGACAGGTGAACCCACACTCTGACTACACACCCAACAGACAGGTGAACTACACTCAGACCACACACCCAACAGACAGGTGAACCCACACTCTGACCACACACCCAACAGACAGGTGAACCCACACTCTGACCACACACCCAACAGACAGGTGAACCACACTCAGACCACACACCCAACAGACAGGTGAACCCACACTCTGACCACACACCCAACAGACAGGTGAACCCACACTCTGACCACACACCCAACAGACAGGTGAACCCACACTCTGACCACACACCCAACAGACAGGTGAACCCACACTCTGAGCACAGACCCGACAGACAGGTGAACCACACTCAGACCACACACCCAACAGTTAGGTGAACCACACTCTGACCATACACCCAACAGTTAGGTGAACCCGCACTCTGACCATAGACCCAACAGAAAGGTGAACCCACACTCTGACCATACACCCAACAGTTAGGTGAACCCACACTCTGACCATACACCCAACAGACAGGTGAACCCACACTCTGACCACAGACCCAACAGATGGGTGAACCCGCACTCTGACCACAGACCCAACAGATAGGTGAACCCACACTCTGACCATAGACACAACAGATGGGTGAACCCACACTCTGACCATAGACACAACAGATAGGCAAACCTGACCCCAGGTGGCTGGAACTAATAGAAAGTACAAAAGAAAATAAATTTAAGTCTGTCTAAAACACACAGAAAAGTAAGAAGCTAAAAAGTAAAAGACGTTAAGAAAGAAAATCTCAAGATGTGAAAAGTAGAGATGTTGGGGAAATAAAATCGTAGAAATTGCCAGGGGGTTGTGATGCACACCTTTAATCCCAGCACTGGCAAGGCAGAGGCAGGCAGACCTCTGTGAGTTCGAGGCCAGTCCGGGCTACAGATTGAGTTCCAGGAAAGGCACAAAGCTACACAGAGAAACCCTGTCTTGAAAAACAAACAAACAAACAAACAAACAAACAGAAATTGAAATGATCTCTAAGAATTGGATTGAATATTGGGATGAATACAGCCAAGAAGAGGCTTGGTGAATTGGGAGAGAGATTAAAGAAGGCAATTGGCAGTTAAAACCCCGTGCTGGCTAATTTTACATCAACCTGACATAAGCTAGTGTCACATGGGAAGATGGACCCTCAGTTGAGAAAATGTCTCCCTTAGACTGGCCTGTGGCAAGCCTACAGCGCATTTTCTTGTTTGAAGATTGACGCAGTAGGGCCCAGCTCACTGTGGTAGGTGCCACCCTTGGGGAGGTGGTCCTGGGATGTGTAAGAAAGCAAGCTGAGCAAGCCACGAGGAGCTAGCCAGTAAGCAGCACCCCTCCATGGCCTCTGCACCTGTTGCTGCCTCCAGGTTCCTACCTTGAGTTCCTGTCCTGACTCCTATGATGTGGAAGAAACCCTTTCCTCCTCAAGTTGCTTTTGGTCCTGGTGTTTGTTTATCACAGCAATAGAAACCCCGACTAAGACAACCCCAAACATGCATTTCTGTAGATTTCAAGGGTTTAAGTCACGTGACAGTGGAAACCATTAAAATATTTGATACTGAGTAGACAGCAAGAGTCCCACAAACAAAACCTGTGGGGTCACAGCCAACTCAGTGCTTACAGGTCAACTCATAGCTTTGAAAGATTTTATGTGAAGAAAGAAGAGTGGAGACTAAATAGCTAAGAAACCAGGACAAGTATCTTTACTTACACACACACACACACACACACACACACACACACACACACACACACACACAAAGTCTAAGAAAATGATTATCAAAATGAGCAAGACAGAAAATAAACAGAAATACTGGAAAACCAAAACTGGAGTTTTTTTTTTTTAACCTGGTAATTGGCAGGGCTGATGAATGGGGGAGAGCCCCCAGTCAACAACGCTAAAATAAAATGGGGGTGGTGGTGGCAGCAGATGAAACAGAGCTTTCAATTGCTCTCAAAACTGAACTCAGAATAGCTTTGTCGGTCCCCCTGTCCCATACCTGAGTGGTGGTGACCTTCATCACCCATGCCCTGTGTGCACATGCCACCCACCCACAGGGACAGCAGGATGGCCTCAGGGCACTTCCATGCACACACTCAGATATGCACGCCCTAAAGATATGCAGGTGTGTGCATGTGCCTCACACCTCTCTTCGTGTAAAGACCCCTTCACACCCCGGGTGCCCAGGTGAGAGCACACACACTGTAATAGTTAATACCGATTGTTAACCTGTCAGGATTCAGAACCAGTGAGGAGATAAACCTGTGGACATGCCCATTCAATTGGGTTCATTGAGGTGGAAAGATCCACTCTGAATGTGGGTGGTACAGACCCATGGGCTGGAGCTCTGGACTGAATAAAAGGAAAACAGAGCCAAGCACAACACTCAAGCCTCTGCATCCTCACTGCAAATGCAGCGACCAGCACTCCCAAGACCCTGCTGCTATGGCTTCGGGACTGTCATGAGGGACGGTGTCTTGGAAGTGTGGGCCAAAACAAATCCTTTCCTCCCCTTTCCATTCTCATGTGTGTATATGTGGGTATGTGTATTTGCATGGGTATATGTGCACATGTATGGGGGTGCACAGGCATGTGTGTCTGAGTACATATGGAGGGCCAAGGTTGATGTCCAGAATCCCCCCTCCCCCCCATTGCTTTTTAACATCTTATTCATTGCAGCAGGGTCTCTCCATCAAACCTAGAGCTCATCAATAATAGCCAAGCTTGCTAACTAGCTTGGTGTGGGGATCCCCTGACTTCTTCCAGAGGCTAGGATTTACAGGCAGGCTGCCATGTGCACTCTACATTTACATGGGTTTGGGGGGATCTGAATAAGTGCTTTAACCATCTCCAGCCCAACCCTTCCTTTTCAGAGTGGCTTTTGTCACAGCAACAAGACATATAGGTATTACACATCCCCAGGTGACACGGGAGCCTGACTCCATTGATGGGTAGCCTTTCCCTAGCCCTCCAGGGTGTCCAGACATGGTGCCCCACAGGCCCTCTGGCCAGGTGACAGTACCTCCAGCTCCCTTAGCAGTTCCGACTGACCACAGGACTCCAGGTCTTCAAGGGCCTCTCCAAACACTCTCCAGAAGCCCTCCTCTCGGGCGGGGCCAGGGGCTGGGCTGCAACAGGAACCACAGCGTCAACTCCTGGCAGGCGGGAGGGTGGGCGGGCTGGGCCTGAGGAGTCTTCGTTGCCTAGGGCCCAGTGCTGGGCTCCAGGGGCCATAGGGCGGGCAGGCAGGCAGGCGGGTGTCCTCGGTGGCAGTGCTGGGGCCCCAGGGCAGTGGTTGGTGACACAGAATGTGGGGGGAGACGCAGTTAGGGGCGACCAAGACTGTTGGTGGCCAATTAGAACAGGGGCAGATGAGACGGGGTGGAGAGCGGTGACACAGGACGCCTGGGAAGAAAGACAGACGGACAGACAGAAGACAGAGACAGACAGAGAGATCCATGGGATAGCCCCAGAAGACAGTCCGATCCCGCCCAGACACATGGCACCATGGGACAGTGACAGAACAGAGCCAGAACCAGCCAGGACATGGATGGATGGAGAAGATGGGATATTTGTGCAGGGGGTGGGGTGGGGTGGGTGGGCAGTACCCATCCTGGCCAGCCCACATTGTGTGGCCCATCTGCAGCTAACACCTAGCTTGCAGGACCCCTGACAGCTCTCAGAGCCCTTTGCCATTTGCCACAGTGTGATTTACAAAGTCCTCATTTCTCAAAGGCCTGGCATTGCTTTTAAGGAGGACAGTGCAGCGTGGACAGAGAGGTGAGCCCAGGCAGAGGGGGCATGGGTGTTTCTTGTGGAGACCCACTCTGTGGGAGCTGGCTGCTGTACGAGCCCAGTCCTACACATGCAAACATGCACAGCCCAGGGATGGTGGCTGTGAACTGAGAGTCACGCCTCGTGCAGCCTGATCTGAGGAGGAATCTGGGTTCAAATTCTGAGTCTGATGCTGCAATTCTGAACGCAGCTATTCACAGACTCAGGAGGAACAAGCCGGACTGCCGCCTCACTAGGACATGTCTGCTGCTATCTTTCCACAGAATGCCCTTTCCAGCCCAGGTTTAGTCCTCAGGCCAGGGATGCTCTTCTGTTCTAACTCCCCCTCTGGCTACCCCCCCCCCCCACTTAGTGTTCCCACCACGGACCTCATCGGTGGCTCCCAGTCCCCCTCCTCCTCCTCTGGGAAGCTCTCATCAGTGGGGCCAGGTGTGTAGCTTGACCTCCGGGCCTCAAGGGGTGGGGAGTTGCTCTTCAGTCTGCTGGTTCGCCACTCCTGGGGAGTCACACTTCGGACCGCCACCTGTGGAGTGTAGGAGCCTGGCGGGTGGAGAGAGGGATGTGGGCCTTCTCTCTAGCCTGGCCTTGTCCTCCCTCATTCCCAGAAATCGGATACCAGTGGGCAGATCTGTGTCCTTATCGGGCCCAAGTGACCACTGAGAGACCCAGGAGTCCCTGTCACCCTAGCAAGCCCCTGGAACATCCAGACATCCAGCTGTTAACATTGAAGTTCCAGCACCATGGTCAGCTCCACAGGCGTGGCCTGTTCAAGGGCCTCCTTGAAAGGGAGTTTCTGATTGGATCACAGTCCCAGACCTACCCGCAGGAGCCCTGAGGATGAGCTGGGAGCCCTGGGGACCCGTTTCCTGGAGCTTGGTGATGGGGACACCCAGGGAGAGCCAAAGGCCCTAACTGAAACGGAGTGAGGATTCACCAAGAACCCGGAGATGCTTCTCTGCTAATTCCCTGAGCCTCAACCACAGGCCAGAGGGCAGCCCCGGTGGGTCTCAGCCACGTGGGCAAGGAGGGCATTGTCTGCCTTCTGTCTTCAGCTGGAAGCATGAACTGACACCTGTTGTGTGCTAGGCATGGGGATAAGGAGAGAGAGCAGAATAAGAGCTGCTCTGTCCCCAGCACACGGCAAGGAAATCCGGGACTGTAGGTGAAAGGCGGAGTCCCTCAGGTGACCCTTGGGAGTTTCCTCCGAAGGAAAAGGCCAGCCGAGAGAGAAGGTGCCAAGAAGAGCAGGCAGCGGGGTCACCTTCACCAAAGCCTGTCCAAGGTCCCGGGCTCATTACCTGGGCCCCCAAAGCCACCCTCTGTAGCAGAGCTGCCCCAGGACTCCACAGCGCTGTCCACACTGGGGACAGCAGGTGAGAAGCGGGCCGTCAGCAAGCCTCCCTTGAGGGCCTCCGGAGGGTCCTCATCCACATCACTGGCCTCACTGAGGCTGCCCGACTGGCGGGGGAGGAGGGGACCTGGGAAGAGGAATATCACCTATGACCTCAGAGACACAGATGTTTTGTGAGCCTCAGTTTCCCTACTCTGAGAACTCCCAGGCACTTGACAATCTGGCTTCTGCCATGTAGGTGGGGCATATTAGCAAGTGAACCCATCACGCAGATGGGAAAACCGAGGCATGTGAGGCTGAACAACAGGCCAAAGGTCATATAGTGAACAACAATGGAGGCCAGATTAAAAGAAGACCCCAAGACTCAGGTAAACTGTGGCACACATAGGACACAGGAACATGTAGGAACCTGAGGAGATATGAAGCAATGAGGAGCATGGTTTAGACCCAGAATGTACCTCATACTGCACTGTGCCACCATGGCACAGGGCTTCTCTCTCTAAGCCTCCTCATCAGCTGGCCCAGGGACCCCACCCCCTTTCTAGATTGGTGGCACACAGCCTGACCCAGGACTGCCCTTCCTCTGTAGGCCAGGAAGTCCCCAGGAAGGGGAAAGGCTCACGGTCCAGTTGCTTCTTGATCTTCAGTGTGACAGTCTCCCCTGCCACCTGCAGAAGGTGGATGGCCTCGCTCAGGGGCCGGCCCTTGAGGCTCACGCTGTTGATGGCCAGGATACGGTCCCCCACATGGATGGCACCAGTCCTGAGGAGCGGACACAGAGCACAAGTGAGGCCCAGATGCTCAGGGCCTCAGAGTGTGTTGGTCCTGCCTTCAAATACCGCACAGAGGCCCCAAGGCACAGGCCTGGCTGGCCCCAACTGGGTAGGAGGAAGGATAGGCATAAGAGCATATTCCGGTATTCTCAATATTCCAGAGACAGAGGGGCATCCTGGGGCCCTGTCTCAGAGAGGTGAGAAGAGAGAGAATGAGGGAGGAAGGAGAGAGGTGAGGGATCCAAGTCATCCTCAGAACTTCTGCTGAACAATTCTCCCCCAGATTCCAGGTTTTATAGCTCTGTTGGTTCAAAGTCACCCTCTTCCTCCTCTTTTGTTCTGAGACAGGTCTTGTTATGTAGCACAGGCTGGCCTGGAGCTCTCTAAGGAAGTCAATGTTGGGGCTTCTCAAAAAACTGAAAATAGATGCCTGATGTGATGGCGCACGTCTTTAATCCCAGCACCCTGGAGGCAGAGGCAGGCAGATCTTTGTGAGTTCAAGATAACAATTCTTGTTTTGTTTTGTTTTTTGTTTTTGTTGTTGCTGTTTTTGAGACAGGGTTTCTCTGTGTAGCTCTGTAGACCCAACTGGCCTCAAACTCACAGAGATCCACCTGCCTCTGCCTCCCATGTGCTGGGATTAAAGGCGAGCATCACCAACGCCTGGCAAGTTCAAGGTACCAATTCTTTAAAAGGAAAAAGTAAATTTGTAGGAAAATAGATGGAAATGATTAAGCTGAGCAAAATAAGCCAGAGACTCAGAGAGACAAGTCATGTGTGTCTTCCCTCCTATGTGAAAGCTAGATTTAAAATTATGTATAGGGAGGGGTTATAAAGATT